CACTGGGATTACAGTTACCATTGACCCCGGTTTAGGGACAGAATTGAATGGATTGTGGGTCCCAGGGAGGCAGGAGGGTTGTTGGAGTTGGGCCATGAGAGAGTTAAGAAAGGAGGTGCTGGCCAAAAGCAAGGTGCTTGAAATCATGACTTAGAGAACAGAGACTGTTGGTATGACAAGGTGTAGCGTAAGGCTCAGCAAACTGTGGCTTATGAGCCAAATTCGACCTGCCGTATATTTTTGTACAAACTAAGGATGATCTTTACATCATAACACGAAAAAAGAAAAAAAGACACCATTATCCTTGCAGCAAGAGCACTTGCTCAGAGTTGAAGTCACTGCTGCTGGGCCTGCAAAGCCTAACATATATTCTCTCTGGCCTTTCCAGAAAGTGTGCCAACTCTGGTCTAGATGCTAGGTATGACCACGTGTGAGAAGCTGAGGTAAAGTAGAGGACACATCATGAAGGTGAGGTGGCCAGGATATTGGAGGTTAACTACACGGGAATATATATCACCAATAATTATGACATAGTGTTGATAAGAGTGACACGGAGCCAGAACTGAGAGTCAAGGAATGAAGGGCAGGGCTTGGGAGCGGTCGACCCATTAGAGGCTCCAAGCTCTAATAACAGGTGGCCTAGTCTGCCAATAGTGAGCTACAAAGCTCATTGTTTAAGGGAGGAAGGAAGAGAGAATGCTCTGGAAATAGCAGTGGGAAGAGCTGGCTGGTCCCTGATTTCGCCTCCAGGTGCCAAGAGTATGAAGGAGGAATGTAGGCACCCCTTGAGAGGGGTGCAGGGTTGGCAGGGTACCCAGAGAGTTAATGGTGGCATGAACAAAGAGCATGGGCCCTGCAGTCAGGGAAAGCTTTGCAGAGGAAGGCCTTGACATATTGACCACAGTTAGTGAGGTGAAGGTGGAGGAGAAGTGAAGGGGTACTTAGGTTTAGGGACGCATGTTATTTTTGAACACTGACCTCAGAAACCACAAATGGGTGTTGGTATGGCTGAAGGCTTTGGGTGAAGAACATTACTGGTTTTCATTAATATCTACATGCTGGTGCTTAGAAGCTGGAAGTAGATGGGTGGATGTGCTATGAACTAAGACCACACATACTGGAATTTCAATCTTGTTCTTACTTCCCACAGACACAAAATTGTGTAAATTTTCTATGGGGATTCATTTGTAAATCTGGTCTCCATTTTGAGAGTAGACCATCTGCCACTGCTCTGCTAGGCATTGCAGATACAGCAGTGAACAACACAAACTTGATGATTGTTTCCTGCTCTGAGCTTACAGTGTGCAAGCAGTTAATACTGAACTGTGATCAAGATTAAGTCGGATGTTACTGGTACGCACTGTTTTGGCATCTAACCTAATCTGGGGGCCATGGAATTCCCCTGGAGAAAGAGACATCAAATCTGGTGTCTCCCTAAGGCTGCATGAAGGCAGGAAGCTAGACTGTCTGTTCACTGCTGGACTCCTTCTCCCTATCATGTGCGTACCTGGTACCTGACATGCACTTGATAAAGGCTTGTTGAATGAATCATAGCTTCTCTCTCTGAAATTCATTATGTTCACTATAAATAATAGCGTTATTACCACATTCTTGTAAATAAAATGATAAATGTGAAAGCACTTCGTGAACTGTAGAACATAGTACTTGTTTTAAAGCTGTTCAATATCATGTTGTAAAAGTGGATAATGCTGTACTCCTATTGTGACATTAACAAATGCTTTTTTTGGGGGGGCAGGTGTTTACTCCATTAAAGTCAGGGGGGAAAAAAGACCCTAAGCTTGGTATGGTGGTATGAGGCAAGAGAATCCTGAGTGTGAGGATAGCTGGGCTACACAGTGAGACCCCGCCTCAAAAAACACAAAAAATAGCTGAGCACCAGTGGCTCATGCCTGTAATCCTAGCTACTCAGGAGGCAGAGATCAGGAGGATTGCAGTTTGAAGCAAGCCTGGGTAAATAGTTTTCTAGACCCTATCTTGAAAAAACCCATCACAGAAAAAAAAGGGCTGAGGGAGTGGCTCAAGGTATATGCCACAAAACAAAACAAAAAAACCCCATAAGAAAACCAAAAGACTCCCTCCAAAAAAATTCATCAAACAAAACCCAAAACCAAACCAAACCTCCAAAACATTGTATTAGAGTTACAAAAGTAACTCGAGTAGGAAACAATCTCCATCAGCCTGATTACCTCCTCTTACCAGACCTAGAGTGGTCTCCATCATATTCAGGTTGACTATTTTCTACTAAATAAACATTAATCAACATCAAATTAATATGCTTTTCTTCTGATCCAATTCCACCCTAGCTTAACCTTCATTGTGTACTCATCTATTTTCACCAGGGAATCATTAACTCTTTGAAAGCAGACATCATACATCTTTCTTTTTTGGCATTACTGATGTTTGAACTCAGGACTTCACTCTTGCTATATCACGTGCTCTATTACTTGAGCCACACCCTCAGTCCTTTTTGCTTTGGTTATTTTGAAGATAGGGTCTCACTTTTGCCCATGCCAGCCTAGACCTATTTCTGTTTTCTGTATTAGCTGATAGGTACATTCCACCACACCCAGCCTTTCTCCTTTAAGATGGGATCTCACAAACTTTTTTGCCCAGGCTGGTCTTGAACTTCTATCCTTCTGATTTCAGTCTACTAAGTAGCTAGGGTTATAGGCCTGAGCCACCAGTGCCTGGCTCAAATACATCTCCTGGATTTAACATATATTACCAAGTATCTGTTGGTTGGATGTAACAGGTACATTTAGCCTGGTAATTGACATTACACTTTTACCCATTCATAAAAAGAGTATGAGACTCTAAACAATTTTTGAAGCTCAGGAGCTAGAGGAAGGGGTGCACATTTAAGGCAGGCCTGGACAAAGGTAGAGGTGAGACTCTCAAAAGCAGAACAAAAAAATTCAAAATAAAAAAGGGTTGGGGGGTGTGGTTCAAGTGGCAGAGAATGCACCTGGCATGTGCAAGGCCCTGGGTTCAATCCCTAGCATCCAGCACCACTAAATAAATAAAGTTTGAACTCCAGGTTTAATCCTCCCACCTCAGCCTTTGAAGGAGCTGGGATTACACATAGGAGCCATTGTGCTCAGCCTTAGATTCTAATTTTATTTAATACACTTAAATGATCATTGGCTATCATAATACCATTGCTTCATATACTTTATTTGAAAGGGAACGGGATCAATGTGTAGGGATATTCAATTTCACTTTATCAATATTCTAGCATTTGACTGTAGGTCTGCCAAATGAGTAATAATAAAAGCAACACTTTTACCATTTTCCTTGGATACAAGGGAAAGTCAGAAATGTCAAAAAGCCTTTTCTGATATTTAGGCCAAGTTTCCTTTTTTTTTTTTTTTTTTTGGCGTACTGGGGCTTGAAATCAGGGCCTACACCTTGAGCCACTCCACCAGCTCTTTTTTTGGTGAAGGGTTTTTTCCAGATAGGGTCTCTTGTAACAATTTGCCTAGGCAGGCTTCGATCCAAGATCCTCCTGATTTCTGCCTCCTGAGTAGCATAAGCCACTGGTGCCCAGTATTTTAAAATTCTTTTTGTATCATTCTGGGGTCTTCTACATATATATTTTTAATTCTATAGTGCATGAAAGAACTATATGTTCCTATGTTTGGTTCTTTAATTATGACTTAATTATAATATACACAATCAAGTCCCTTGATCCTGCCCATAAAACAGATCCTAAGCTTGCTGTTGCTTTTATATCAACCCTGTCTGGCTCTTGTTTTGTGGGTATAAGTTCATGCAACTAGAATGGTGTAAGTATTTTGGAGAAAGGTCTTGGAATTAAAATATCCTCTCCCCTGCTTTTTTTTGAATTTGTGATTTATTTTTTGGTCCATATCTGCATTTTCCAAATTTTCTCCCTATAAAGTGATACATTTAAATAGAAAAATCTCTTTGTGGAGACAGAAGGAATGAGGGAGAAATGTTTTTTGTGTGTATGTACTGTGGTTTCCTCGTTCACTGATATAGTATCCCCTCATTAATTCACATATTCCATCTATTACAAAGTGTAATTAACTTGCAATAATTTTTTCCACTTTCTAAATTTCCTTCTGAGCTCATCTTAATTTCCTACGAAGTGATTGAAAATTAGATCGGTTTAAGTAGCTTTTAGTAATGAATCTGAGAACATTAAAGTTAATCAGCGATGAAAGGCAGGGCCTGTTTACAAATTTTTTTTCACTAACACTAACTTCTCTGGTATGTTTGTGACGTGTGACGTGTGCCGTATGTAAAAGCGACGACACCCGTGTATTTTCAAATCTTAGGGCTTCTGCCCTGTGCTACCTTGCTCTGCCCCACTCGCCTTCTCACAGGAGCCTCCATTGCTCAAGCAATCCTTGTTTTGTTTGTTTTTGTTTTTGGTGAGACTGGGGTTCAAGCAATCCTTGTGACACCAACTTTATTTTATCAAGATAACCTCGTCTTGTTACTGCGTTGTCATTTATTGGGTTACCCCCTCCCCATGCTCGTCCGTCACGGGACGGGTCACTGGTGAATTCCCGGTACTGAGCTGCACCGGCCTCCGATACCTGCTCAATACACTTCGGTTAAGTAAATTCGGCATTTTCACGGAGCGGAGAGGTCACTGTCCCGCTGATGGCTTGTAACCTGGTATGACTTCGCACAAATCGTGTTGAAAATGCATCCGTGCAGACGCTTGCCCTTCTCCTGGCAGAAATTCTCACCAAAAACTCACCTTTCCTACCCGGATCCTCTGTCTAGCAGTGAAAGCCTGAGAACTGCGACCCTAACGCGACCACACACTGCACTTTGGGGAACAAGACCCCTCGCTCCCCCACCCCCAGCGCGCGCTGAGGACGCCGACGTCGCCACGTCAGCCTGCGCGCATGAAGCCAGAGCGCCTGCGCGCGGGGCGCGCTCGGAGACCCGCCCCCTACATCCGGGGCTCCGGCGGCGGCAGTGCCGCCGCGCGGGGGTCACGTGGGTTCTTCCTTTCCGTCTCTGGCCGGCTGGGCGCGGGCGACTGCTGGCGAGGCGCGTGGAACCTCGCGTAGGCTCCCCTTCGTCTCTTCTATTCTCGTCGGCCACCAGGGAGTTCTCTGACGCTGGGTGAGCTGAGCCTGCCGCCAAGATGCCGGCCTATTTTCAGAGGCCGGAAAATGCCCTCAAACGCGCCAACGGTGAGTAGGGGAGCGGGGCGCGCTGGGCTGGGACGGCCTGAGGCCTTGGAGGTCGAGGGTCAGGGCCTGCTGCCCACCACCTGGGCTGCCGCCAGAGCGGAGGCCAGGGGCCCTGCCCGCCGCCGTCTCGGCTTGGCACGGTTTCCGGACCCACGCCAGCGCGGATGGAACCGTCGCCAGGGGCTGCCTTTCCTCGCTGCCTGTTGGTGCGTCGCGGGGCCGCGGCCCCAGAGACAGGCCTGCCCGGCCGCGACTTCCTTCCCCTCTGTCGCCTCGGCTAGTTCTCCCCGCTACCGGGCTTTCGTCTTGCTTAGGCCCCGCGCCCCCAGCCGCCATCTGGGAGTGTCGGGGAGGAGGAAACATGGCTCCCTCCCGGGGACAATGCACGCGAGAACCTCGGCTCCACCTCCCGCCGGGGCCTGCAGCCCGGCAGGCCCACCCCCAACTCTCCCTCTGCGGCACCTCTGCCCCAGGGCCCGCGAGGTGCCTTGCTGGGTCAGGGTCCACTTACTCTGCCCCCAGCCACTGACGTGCGCTTCAGGGTCACTGACCCACTTAGCCTATTTAACCTGTTTCTTGCTCCCCCCACCCCCTTTGTGGCGTTGATTAGGGACCGTTCCAAAGCCTTTTTATTTTTTAGAACCAGGAGAAGTTGGGACAGGGTTAATATTATGTAGGGACTGGGGTACTCCCTGAACCGAAACCTAGAGAGGGAATGGTTTCCCAAGGTCACTCTGGGAGTTTGTTAAGCCAAGAGACTAAAACCAAGGTCTCCTGACATCCACATCAGTCTTTTTTTTTTTTTTTTTTTGTCCCCCCCCCCCCTTTTCGCCACAGCGCTGCTGCCTACTCTTTCTATTTCCATATGTGTACTTAAGCTCTGGGCGCTTGCGGGAAAAATTTGTATGCGCTGATGTCTTGAACTGTCATTTTAATATATTAACACTATGAGGGGAGCAAATGGTTTATGCTTATCTCTGATATTTAAAAAGTTGTTTACTTTTTTTTAACCTAATAATATTTAAGTGTTTTGAAGGCTTTTACCCTTCATCCAACAGAAGTCTTACCCAGGTTGTACAAGGATATACTATATTGCTTACAGTTTTATGTTTGGAAATTTTTGTTAGCTTGTTTGAAATTTTATATAGTACCGCAACAAAAAGTCAGCTTTTGTTATGAGAGAACAGTCTAGAATAAAGTAATTGAATTAAAAACCTGTTAAAACTACAACATAGTTCTTGATTGTTACTTATTTTAACCAGTAAAGGTTAGAACAGACAAGCTTAAAGATTTAATTTATAGGAAAGAAAATAGATTGAAATGGAAAGTTATCACTACAAACTAAACTGTAGCAAAGTTGTGACTTTTTGATGTTTTGAATAAGATTACAATATGATAAGCAAAGAGACTTGCATGAAATTACTCTGCATAGCTGTTGCATTTTAGTCATTTGTATACTTCACCAAAGCACCTTTTTTTTAAACCATGGAAATACTCTGAAGTCCTACAATCTCCATGGCCTAAATAAATACTATTCTTGGTATGTTCAAACCTTGTTTCCTTGTCTCTGTTTAGAATCTTCATATGAACTTAATGTTCAGTCACTGTTTACAAGTAGAAAGGATATATAATGTGTTTCAAATTTTTTCACAGTTTCTAAGTTAATTCATGAAGGGCAAGTTGGGGAAAGTATTAAAGTAGGCAAGACCAGAAAGATACTGTGTGTGTGTGTGTGAAACTTGGATCTTTTTTTTTTTTTTTTTTTTTTTTTAATAAAGGCCTGTATTGCTTGCACTCCTGCTAAACTATTGGAGGGCTGTTTCTGCGGGAGAGATGCTTTACCTTCCAAATAGCAGTTTTTAATGCATTGGGTCTTTTGAGTGAGGGATTCCTTCTCAAAGTGTCAGATTGTGAACAGACTGTGGAAGGCACTTACTTGGCAGTGTTTACAAAACATTAAATAGGACCTTAAAAGGGCATTTACTTAATAGAAATCTCATTTTATCTAAGTGTTTTATCTGTAACATTTGTAATCCCAGAGATATTTAGATCTAACCAAATGTAGTATTACTCAAGTCAACCAGAGCAATATTTTTTTGGGGGAAAAAAAAAGTACAGTCATCATTCAGGGAGAGGACAGCATGGCCCTGCATTTACAGGCAAGAAATTGCTATCATGTAATCATTTGAGAGGGCTCCTTTTTCAGATTGTGTTAGTGTCAAAGTAGCTGCTCCTGATCTTGTAACAGTCTTTTAATTTATGCTGTACAACCAGTGCCTTAAAAAAATAGTTGTTAGGAAACCCCTAAATAAAGTAACATTATAGCTGATCTGTTTGGTCTGTTGCACAGTTAGTAAAACCAAGGCCTGAAGTAAACTTTCTTTATTGGTAGATACATAGTTTCATATGTCCTAAAAGTGAACTGAAAATGTTGACCCTCCTGGGAATAGTCATAATTCCACATTTTAATTTTTAGAGTATTAATCTGGAAGTCTACATTTAAGTATTGGAATAGAAACTTTAGTATGACAATTCCTTCCAACCTCAAAAACCTCTTTCCCCATTAATTAGGCAATTCTATGTATGTAAATTAGAATACAGAGTAAGATCTTACCATTCCATTCCAGTTCTTTTAGAAACATCCTTTGCTTTTCATATTTTCTTCTATTATATTTGGTGGGCCTTTGGGTGTCCTGTATACTAAATTATTTTTTAAGTGTTTCTTTTGGCTTGACTTTCAAAGTTAGTATGGAGTTAGATTGGAGGTTCAGGAAGTGAAAAATGCTTTTTAGTTTTATAAAATAATACTTCTTGAGACAGTCTTGCTTGGTGGCCTAGGCTAGCCTCAAACTCAGCTTGCTGAGTGCTGGGATTTCAGGTGCAATAAAGAACCACACTCCCGTTTAAAAATTAGAGATTGGGAAAGTGAATTATTTTTACAGTTTTGTATTTTGTCATCCTTTCATGCTTATCGCTCAGCTTTTAACAACTCCCATTTGTCTCTATGCCATATTAGAAACAGATCGATCACACTTAGTTGTAGTATTTTAAGATTTAAGTCCTCAGTGTAATACTGGGAGTTGGTTATATTAATAGTTAATTTTAACATTGCTGTGGTTTTTTTTTTTTTTAAAGAATTAATATGATGAAAGGCATTTTTTTTTCCTTGTGGTACTGGGGTTTGAACTCTGGGCTTACACCTTGAACACTCCACCAGCCCTTTTTTGTGATGGATTTTTTTTTGAGATACAGTGTTGGGCTGGCTTAGAGCTTTGATCCTCCTGATCTCTGCCTCCTGAGTAGTTAGGATTACAGGTGTGAGCCACCAGCGCCTGACAGGCGTTTACTTTTGACTGATAGAGACTTTCAGTTAAATAGCTTTGGAAAATACCGAAGTATGAATGGATTTTAGACAACAGTAAGTCCTCCCTTAAGTCAGGAAAGGTTTTTTGTTCGAATAGAATATCTGGTTATACTTTGTTTCACTGAATAAGTATTTTTGGTAATAAGACTGACTCAATTGCAGATGGACTTTTGCCTGAAGTGATGTTGGTTTTGTATTTATTTGCCTGTGATATTATAAGGGATGGGGCTGGGATATAGCTCAGTTGGTAGTGAGTCTTGCCTAGCATGCTGTGGAGGCCCTCGGTTCCCTTGTTCAAGACTTTTTCTTAGGAGAAAAGCAAGCATTGATTTTTAAAAAGTGGAGATGTTGTGAAATTAGTGTTTTAGTTAGCTTCAAATTATTTTTCAAGTGTGCAGTTAGAAGACGTGTTTGTGTGAAATTTGGCAATTGCTGGATTTTAAGTTAAACAGTTAATTTAACCTTCTCCCTCCAGTCTGTTGTGTGTGAAAGAAAGGATGAGGAAAACTAAGATAAATAAGAGACATTTCTTTTGACTGAATTTCACTTGAGCCACCCACCAGCCCTTGACTGAATTTCAAAAGGAGCAATATATGTAGAATTTAAGATTGGAACTGGATCAAAGATAGTAGAGTTCCCATTTATTATACCACTCATTTCCCCTATTAATGAACAAGTTACATCCGTACAGTACAGTTGTCACAACTAATGGAACAACTGACCCATTATTAAGCAAAGTCTTTCTTGTTGCGAGATTTTCTCAGCGTTCCCTAATGCCCCTTTCAGTCCTGGGATCCCATCTAGGATACCAGACTGCTTTTAGTTATCTTCTATTTTCTCCTCTGGGATGTGACAAATTTCAAATGACCTTGATGGTTTTGATTAGTACTAGTTAGGTATTTTATACAGTGTACTTTATTGTAGTCCATTGGTACTGTCATAACAAAGTATTGTACTGTGGGCACTTTAAACAACAAATTTACTTCATTTCTAGAGGTTGGGACGCTCAGAATTGAGAACCCAGCAGATTTGGTGTCTGGTGACTGCTCTCTACTGTTTCTACTTCCAAAGTGGTTTCTTGTTGTCTCCTGGAGGAGGAGTAATGCTTTGGGGAGGCAAAAGGGACTAGCTAGTTCCATAAAAGCCACTGATTCATTTGTGAGGGTGGAACCTTCATGACTTACTCATCTCTTGAAAGACCTTAACTTCTTAATACTATTGCATTAAGAACTGAGTATCAACATGAATTTGGAGGGACATACATTCAAACCATAGATAGCATCCTTCTATTGGGATTTGTATTAATAGTTTTCTCATATTTAGACTGGGATAAATAGATTATGTTTATGGATTGTAAGATTCAGTATTACTGTCAATTCTTCATATTCCATTGCTAGACTCAGTGCAGTCCCAGTCAAATTCCTGGCAAGTTATTTTCTAGATGCCTTCAAATTGGTTGTAAAATTTGTCTGGAAAGGGAAAGGACCTAGTAAAGACCACACAGTACAAAAGGATAAAGTTGGAGCACTAATTACCTAATTTCAAGACTTTACCATAAGGTCTTGACAAAAGACTAGAAATGTTGATTAATAAAGAATGAACCAAACAGAAAGCCCAGAAATAGACTCAAATGTAGTCTATTTAAAGTGGTAAAGGCAATCTAATGTATTTTTCTGCCTTATTATGGCATAAACTAGCAAAAATTTCATTAGCCAGATAAACACTATGGTGAAGTTACACTTAAATTTATTAAGTTGTTAGGGGAGATTTTTTTTTCCATGACTTCAGTTCTAGAATTTTGAAATTACAGTGGAATTGAGTGAAACTCAATTTTCCCCTCTAATCTGACATAGTACCAGTCTCTTCCTTTGATTTTACCTTGGTTAACTATGATACTGCTTTTAGAAGTCAAAAATAAGCATGACCTAAAAAATTGGTAATGAGTTAAGAAATTAAAGCAACCAGTTAAAAAGAGGCAAAGGTTATACTTTTGTATAGTATGTGTATTGTTTAATAATGCTGAATTATTTTTTCAGAATTTCTTGAGGTTGGCAAAAAGCAACCTGCTCTGGATGTTCTTTATGATGTTATGAAAAGTAAGAAACATAGAACATGGCAAAAGATACACGAGCCAATTATGTTGAAATACTTGGAACTTTGTGTGGATCTTCGTAAGAGCCACTTGGCTAAGGAAGGATTGTATCAGTATAAGAACATTTGCCAACAGGTACCAACAGAACTCGGTTTTGTATTTTTAAAGTTTACCTTTCAAATTGAATAAATTTTATATTACAAATTTCCTTTTTAGACATTTATGGTTTCTTATTAAAGAATAAATTGTCCCCGCCCCCAATCCCTTAGGTGAACATTAAATCTTTAGAGGATGTTGTTAGGGCATATTTAAAACTAGCAGAGGAGAAAACCGAAGCTGCTAAAGAAGAATCCCAACAGATGGTATTAGATATAGAAGATCTGGATAATATTCAAACCCCTGAGAGGTATGTGAGTTAAATGTTCTTTTTTTCCTGTTTTTCATTTTTATTAGGATATATTTGTTATGGGGGAGGGGTTCATTGTGACAATTCCATATAGCCATACATTGTACATTTTAGTTAGGTGGCCCTTGCCATCTTGCCCCTGAACTCCCTCCCTGCCCCACTTAAAGCAATTGCAAGAGGTTTCATTGTTGTGTTTTGCATATGTATGTGAAGTCCATCAACCATATTCCCTCACCTTCATGTCCTTCATTGGACCCTCTCCCCTCCCACACTGTACCTATTTCATAGTCCTGTCATACATTATTAATTCCAAAGTCAGTGTTCAAAGGGGTTTCTTGATGTAGCACCCCTGTGAGTATATTTTACTTTGGTCAGTTCAGCCCCTTCCATTACTCTCACTTACCCCTTCCCCCCTTTATTCAATGGCTTTTAGTACATGCCGTTATGTATTCTACCTGTACAGATGTTAAAGTATTTTGATATTGTTGACTCTCTTATCATTCTTATCCTTTTCCTCCTCTGAGTTCCATTATTACAAACATGTTCTACATGTAAGTTTGTATGTGATCATATGTTTTTGTGTCTATGTTTATATTTTGGATCAATCTTCCACATATAAGAAAATATGTAGGTGAGTTAAACTTTAATAAATATTTTGAAAGCTGTGTTTTTCTTTACATGGGTCTCCATGTTCCACATTTGAAGTAGATGTTTGTCAGAAAGAGTGCTTATCTTTGAAGTTTTAAGTGTATAGTACATCAATTATGTAAGTAATACTCAAAATTCATAGAAGTGTACCAATATAGCCTTAGGATAGATGGGAATATACTAATTAAACAACAGTAATACAGATTGGGAATTCAGGCATGTTCATTTGGTAAGTGACAAACTTTATAGCATATTCAAAGGTACAGGAAAAATTTGTACCATTTCATGATCATTGTTTGTTTTGGGTTTTTAGTCACATGGCAAAGTAGGGAATCATGCCTAAAATTGTTTTCAACATTTTTTTCTTCTTTGTAGTGTTCTCCTTAGTGCTGTCAGTGGGGAAGATACTCAGGATCGTACTGACAGATTACTGTTAACTCCCTGGGTTAAGTTCCTGTGGGAATCGTACAGACAGTGTTTGGACCTTCTTCGAAACAATTCTAGAGTAGAGCGCCTTTATCATGATATTGCCCAGCAAGGTAAGATGATTCTCTGGAATCTCAATAAGCTGATTTGAAAAGTTGTCTTTAGAACCGATTTTTTTGTGGAAGATTAATTCCTTTTCTGCATAATACTTAAAAATTAATTAGTTTTACCCTTATTGAAATGTGATCGACATTTGTTCATATTAAATAACTAAATAAGAAATTTGTATTGCCAGTTAAGGCAATTCCATATGAAATGTATTGCAAAAGTCAATTTGAAAGTCTTCAGGTGATAAAAAACAAATGAACTTTCTATTGAATTCTAGTAAACTGGAATTTTACTTTTTACTCCATGCTGGATTTAATGTATTCCATGAAAAAAGAAACATAGTTTCACTTTTGTAAAACAGCATTACTGAAGATACAATTAAGTTTTCTTGATTCAGTCATCTTTAATATTCATTTTTTCTGTATACACTTAACTCTGTGAGGGACTACATTGAAAATACCATACTGTCACTTGTAAATTCTTTCAGTGAATATAGTCCTAGCTGTGTGAGTGGGAAACTACCTGAGTTGGGCTGTTTTCTGTCTCACCCTTACCCAGAAGCTTGTGCTGCCAGTCTTACAGGGATGATTGGCATTTTATTTTCTTTCTGATTTTGTTTGTTTGTTTTTTAAGATAGAGTCTGAGTAGCCTAGGCAATCCTCAAATCTTGCTTTGTAGCCCAGGCTGGCCTCAAACTCATGATCCTCCTGTTTTAGTCTCTTTAGTGCTGGAATTAGAGGTGTGTACCACTGTGTCCGGCTCAGCATTTATTCAGATGTTAAGTGACTTTTCAACTATTTATATTTTACTAGGAATATTGGAACTTGTGGCTAAAATGAATTGTGTGAATGTTCAAGTTAAATTGTGTCACTTTGTTTAGGCCTTTCTTTTTCTTTTCTTTTTTTTTTTTTGTTTGCACTGTACTGGGGTTTGAATTCAGGGCTTTACACTTGTAAAACAGGTGCTCTATTGCTTGAGCCACCCCTCCAGTCCTTAGGCCTGTTTTTTTTAACAGCCAAGAAATTCTAAAAAGATTCTAATCTTGCATATCTGACAGGAGGAATTGCTGTGTATTTTTAGTGATTGGTGCAAGTAGTTTGTGTATATAGTTGAAATTAGGTTATTGTAAACCTCTAATTTGCCTTACATAGTTTAATAGTATGAAAGCATGTTGTATTCTATATAGTTGACGTCTGATTTTTTTATTCTTAGGATTTGAAGTGATAGGTCTTTGAATGTGGTGGGTCTTCCTAAATCTAAATTTCAATCATTTCCCCTTTTACTCATTATTTTAGGCCAGAAGTGGTAATCATGTTTTCTTTGATTTTTGTCAGGGTTCAGAACGGTAGTCAGGGCACATGGAGGGAGTTACAGTTCTACAACAACATATTCAAAGACTAATGATGAGTTTGGTGAATTTTGTTAACATAACTGATCTTACTGTGTGAAATAAAACCTATTTAAATACTGAAGTTGAAGAAAGTCCTTAATATATTTGACCATTATGCTTACAGCTTTCAAATTCTGCCTCCAATATACCCGTAAGGCTGAATTCCGTAAGCTGTGTGACAATTTGAGAATGCACTTATCTCAGATTCAGCGCCACCATAACCAAAGTACAGCTATCAATCTTAATAATCCAGAGAGTCAGTCCATGCATTTGGAAACCAGGCTCGTTCAGCTGGATAGTGCAATCAGCATGGAACTCTGGCAGGTATGTTGTGAACTACTAGCTTTTCTATTAATAATTGTCTTTTTTCCTTCAGTGGTCCTCTTCTTGGTATGATCTCTTAATTTCAGTAAAGTGACGGATTTAAGATTGTCTGATGGATGAAACAGGAAGATATTTCATTTCTAATCTGTGGAATTTGAATCAAGTCATGTAATCTCTTTCAGACCCATTTTCTTTCTATGAAAAACAATACATTATTAGTGCTACTCAAAAGTGTGATTCTGTAACTGGTGTCAGGCTGTAAACTGTTTAGTCTCTGATGAAATAAGTATAGAGGTTAAAAGCATTTGCAAAGTGCAATGATTTTGGTCTTTATTTTTTGTAGTACTGAGGTTTGAGCTTAGTGGCTTGTACTTGCTAGTTAGATGCTTGACCACTTGAGCTACAAATCTAGCCCGAAAAGATTTTTTTTTTCTTTTTCTTTGTGTGTGTGTGTGTGTGTGTGTGTGTGCGCTAAGGATTGAATCCATGGTCTTATTCTTGCTAAGCTCATGCTGTACCACTGAGCTATACTCCCAGACCCTACAATTTTTTTTTTCTCCTTTGGTGAGACTGGGCTTTGAACTCAAGGCTTCACGCTTGCTAGGCAGGAGCTCTACCATTTGAGTCACTCCATCAGCCCTGTTTTGCATTGTTTTTTTTTCGAGATAGGGTCTCTTTGAACTATTTGTCTATGCTGGTTTCAAACTACAATCCTCCTGATCTTTGCCTACCAAGTAGCTAGGATTATAGGTGTGAGCCACATGTGCTCGACTTCAATTTTTTTTGTGTGTGTATGTAAGAGTTATTTGTCAGTGACAGATGGAAGTTAAAACCACACACCTTTACTGTGGTTGGAGAAGGCTTAGGTAGTGTGCATGGTGAATGCTGTGCACTGTACATGGCATTGATGTTGGAAGCTTGTGTTTTGCCTGGCCCCATTACTCCAAGGATCCTATAGAGTTCATTTTCACATGAATTTTTGTAGCCTTATAACTTGAAAGGTTTTACATATTTGACAAAAAGTATTTAATTAGAATCATACGGGAAGAACCTGAAAATTTGCAGTTTTTCAGCGAAGTGAAAATGGGATTTGATTCTACCCTCTTGCCCCATAATGTTGTCCTGTTTTATAGGGACACCCATCTTAAATTGCTCCCTGTAGAGGACAGATAAATAAGCTCATTATTGGAAAAGTGGATAAGCTCATCCATTGTCTTATCACTCAGAAATCACCTGTATTCTATTGTACGTTGCCCCAAGTGGTGTGCTAATATGCAAATATATTCTTTTTAAATCTGGTTTATCTACTTTACAGGACTTTCTAAAGAAGTTTAAAGTTTAAAGAGCTAGTGATTTTTTTTAATTACAGCAGTTTTTTTCCCAATGTATCAGATATTAAATTGTGGGTAAAAACCACACATGAAGGCACGTATACATGCTACTTTTATTTTTATATGTTTCTCTGTGTTAGGTTTCCTAGTGAGATTTGAACTAGATTGTTTTATTTCAGAATGCAGTGGCTAATTTATACTACTAATTTTAGGAAGCATTCAAAGCTGTGGAAGATATTCATGGGCTCTTCTCCTTGTCTAAGAAACCACCTAAACCTCAGTTGATGGCAAATTACTATAACAAAGTCTCAACTGTGTTTTGGAAATCTGGAAATGCTCTTTTTCATGCATCTACTCTCCATCGTCTTTATCATCTTTCTAGAGAAATGAGAAAGAATCTTACACAAGATGAGATGCAAAGGTAAGAATGTTGTAGTTGGGTAGTGTTGAAACTAAAGATCTTTTAGTTTCAAATGATACATTATGGAGTAAGTTAGGATTTCTCAACTTCTGTACTATTGATGTTTTGGATTAGGTAATTCTTTGTTGAGGAGACTATTCTGTGCATTGTATGATGTTAGTAGCATCCCTAACCTGCAGTTGTGTCTATACCAACTCTGCAGTTGTGACTGCCAGCAGTATTTTCAGACATTGCTCCTCTTGGATAGTACTCTTGGTCTTTAGGAGCCAATTTTGTCTGATGAACTCTATCAAAAGCCCAAATGAGAAACTTTTTGGGGGAGACAGTGTTAACATATGATCCTTCTATCATACAGGTAGTATCTTTTCATAGCAAAGATTGAACAATGAAGAAGATAATTAGTTCCATTAAGTCATTTTCCCCCTAATTATAAAATATTAGCTGTAAGGTACAGATGCTCTTTGACTTGCAATGGGGTTATATCCCTGTAAACTCATTGTAAGCTAGAAGTAATGATAAATAAAAAATACATTTAATCCAGGGGGCCTAATAAACAGTATAGCTTAACAACATAGTACACTATAGAGTATCTGCTATTTACCCTTGTGATTGAATAGCTGAGAGGGAGCTGTGGTGCACTTCTGTTAGGGCCTGCCATTTCAAGAATATCATAGTTGATTTCGCTAGCCTGGGAAAAAAATCAAAATTTGAAATACAGTTTCTGCTGACTTCATATCACTTTCACATCAAAGTCAAAACATTGCAGCTGGGCTGATGAAGGGGCTCAAGTGGTAGAACCACTACCTAGCAAGCATGAGGCCCTGAGTTCAAACCCAAAGCCACCCCCCCCCCCAAAAAAATTGCCGCTATCCCGAGTCAGGCACTATTTGTATTTGAGAGATGGACACAACTAAGCATAATTTGAATAGCTTATAATACAACAACTTACAGACCATTTTTAAAAAGGAAAATAATACATATATCCTGTCTGCTGCCCCATACCCCAGTTTCTTTTTTTGTTCCCTGTGAAGAATTGAACCCAAAGCTTTGTGAAAAATAGGCAGGCACTCCACAATAGAGCTACATCCTCACCCTCTCAGTTACTTTTTAAAAATACATTTGGGTTGTACTAGGCAGTTTACAAACTGTTCTTCTCCCTATTAAACTGTGACTTTGGCTTTCAGTTGAATTATGTACAAGTGGTAGGGTGCATGCTTAGCAAGTCTGAGGCCCTAATTAATATCTTAATTCCTGGTATTACCAAAAAAAAAAAAAGAAAGATTACAGTTTTATAGCAATACGCAGAACCAACTGAATGAATTATGTTAGTGTTCTAGGTTTTTTGAAACTCTGGAGGACCATGTCTATTACGTCATTCACTGTTAGGTAGTTCACATGTTTGATGTAGAAAAAAAAAACTACAAAAAAAGAAACTTGTGATACTTCGAGATATTTATATTATCCCTTCACTGAGCACTTCAATGAGTATATTATTTGATTTAATATTACCTGGTTAATAACTAAAAGTTCTGTGTTTTGCCTAAGGTACAGACTTAGAAATAGTAAAGCTGAGATCCAGCCTTTGACTGTTGGGGTCCAGCATCCACAATCTTTGGTGTTCTACAGTGCTCTGTATTCAACCTGACTTTGCTCTTGTGTTTTAGTGAAGTGAAAATGTCGCTCCCCCCTCCATTCACTACCATAATTGTATTCATTTACAGCCTTTGTAATTTTTTTCATCCTTATATAATTTATTTTCTTAGTTTTTAAAGCTGCCATTTAACCAGTCTCATTCAGAAAACAGAAGTGTTGGATGAATTTTTTTATTTGATAAGGATTTGTTTAAAAGATCAATTTCTTTTTTAATTAATACCATGGTATAATGGAATAATATTGAATATAGTTCACTATGCTGGGAGGGTATATTCTGTAACTGGCATAGCATAATGGATGATTAAAGGTAAGTACTGTTCAGGCAACATTTATAAACTGAACAGGTTTAACTTTGTTTCCCACAGAATGTCTACTAGAGTCCTTTTGGCTACGCTTTCCATCCCTATCACTCCTGAGCGAACTGATATTGCTCGACTTCTGGATATGGATGGCATTATTGTTGAGAAACAGCGTCGCCTTGCAACACTGCTAGGTCTTCAAGCCCCACCAACACGAATTGGCCTTATTAATGATATGGTTAGTATAAGTTTGAACATTTACTGCTTTGGACAGAATACTTGTGATCAAGTTTAATGATGCATGATTAAATATTGGGTCTTCTGATTAATTGCCAGAAGATTCTGATGTATGATCCAGGAACCACTGGTATGAGAGGGCACTTTGTTCAGTTGGGGTGATTGTTCTCTAGTGAGTGAGCTGGGGTTAAGTTGGTGGTAACTTTGTAGCAGGACTTGGGGCTGGGTCTGAGGAAAACTGTGGGATGCTCAGTGTGAGAAAAAGTAACATGGTCAAGAAGAGTTCATGGCCTATTTCAGAGGGCTACAGGAAAAGGAGTCAAGCTGACATGTGGGAAACAGGATAGGCTGGAAAGAGGGTGAGGTTTTAGGCTGCTTCTGGACACTTAAGACATTTTTAACTTTCTCTTTTATTTTTTTTTCATTTTTCTTTTATTATTCATATGTGCATACAAGGCTTGGTTCATTTCTCCCCCCTGCCCCCACCCCCTCCCTTACCACCCACTCCGCCCCCTCCCTCTCCCCCTGCCTCAATACCCAGCAGAAACTATTTTGCCCTTATTTCTAATTTTGTTGTAGAGAGAGTATAAGCAATAATAGGAAGGAACAAGGGTTTTTGCTGGTTGAGATAAGGATAGCTATACAGGGCATTGACTCACATTGATTTCCTGTGCATGGGTGTTACCTTCTAGGTTAATTCTTTTTGATCTCACCTTTTCTCTAGTTCCTGGTCCCCTTTTCCTATTGGCCTCAGTTGCTTTAAGGTATCTGCTTTAGTTTCTCTGCGTTAAGGGCAACAAATGCTAGCTAGTTTTTTAGGTGTCTTACCTATCCTCACCCCTTCCTTGTGTGTTCTTGCTTTTATCATGTGCTCATAGTCCAATCCCCTTGTTGTGTTTGCCTTTGATCTATTGTCCACATATGAGGGAGAATATACGATTTTTGGTCTTTTGGGCCAGGCTAACCTCACTCAGAATGATGTTCTCCAATTCCATCCATTTACCAGCAAATGATAACATTTCATTCTTCTTCATGGCTGCATAAAATTCCATTGTGTATAGATACCACATTTTCTTAATCCATTCATCAGTGCTGGGGCATCTTGGCTGTTTCCATAACTTGGCTGTTGTGAATAGTGCCACAATAAACATGGATGTGCAGGTGCCTCTGGAGTAACAGTCTTTTGGGTATATCCCCAAGAGTGGTATTGCTGGGTCAAATGGTAGATCGATGTCCATCTTTTTAAGTAGCCTCCAAATTTTTTTCCAGAGTGGTTGTACTAGTCTACATTCCCACCAACAGTGTAAGAGGGTTCCTTTTTCCCCGGATCCTCGCCAACACCTGTTGTTGGTGGTGTTGCTGATGATGGCTATTCTAACAGGGGTGAGGTGGAATCTTAGCGTGGTTTTAATTTGCATTTCCTTTATTGCTAGAGATGGTGAGCATTTTTTCATGTGTTTTCTGGCCATTTGAATTTCTTCTTTTGAGAAAGTTCTGTTTAGTTCACATGCCCATTTCTTTATTGGTTCATTAGTTTTGGGAGAATTTAGTTTTTTAAGTTCCCTGTATATTCTGGTTATCAGTCCTTTGTCTGATGTATAGTTGGCAAATATTTTCTCCCACTCTGTGGGTGTTCTTTTCAGTTTAGAGACCATTTCTTTTGATGAACAGAAGCTTTTTAGTTTTATGAGGTCCCATTTATCTATGCTTCTGGACACTTAAGACATTTTTAACTTTCTCTTTTATTTTTTTTTGATGGCGCTGGGGCTTGAACTCAGGGCCTCACACTTGCTAGGCAAATGCTCTACCACTGGATCCACTCCTTCGGCCCTTTCTTGTGTTGAGTATTTTCAAGATAGGGTCTTCTGAACTATTTGCCTCGTGTGGCTTTGACCTACAATCCTCCTGTTCTCTGCCTCCCAGTAGTTAGGATTGCAGGTGTGAGCCACTGGTGCCCAGCCCAATATTTTTTCTCTGAAACTTCCATTTTATTTTATTAAATCAGTGGTTCTTAATCAGGGTTAGGCAATAAAAGTGTGTAAAGTAAAGTTGTTCCTTGGTGCTTACATGAGATTGCTTCCAGGATCCCTGTGGATACCAAAAACTGTGGATGCTCAAGTCCCTTGTCTAAAATGGAGCAATATTTGCATGTAATCTGAGGAAAACCTCCTGCAAACTTTAATCTCTAGATGAATTTTAATACCTAATATAAAGTAAATGCTATGTAAATAGTTGTTATATTTTATGGAATAATGACAAAAACGTACACTTAGTACAGATGGAAATTTTTTCCCTCAAATATTTTCCAACTATGGTTGGTGGACTGGATGTGGAGCCTGAGCATACAGAGGGCCAACAGTTAAATGAATGTAACACTGTCTTGTTGATGGATCATTTGAGTTTTTCCAGTTTTGGCCTTGTGAGAACAGTGCTACCATGGTAATTTTCATATGATTATTTACATAAAAATAATTTGTAAGCTCTGGTGTTTTATTTACTACTGGGATAAGTTAGTTTATGCTGGCCATAGTAGTAGTTGTCTTTGCAGATATAGTACTATGTTGGCTTAGTTTTTATTTGCTTTTAAAGGTCCCAGGTCTTTTCAGTATAGGGAGATACATAATGTGAGGCAAGAAACTCAACATAGTTCTAGTTTGGATTACTTTTGGTAAGTATAAAGAGGGGTGAGGCTAGACAGTCTTTTTCCACATCTCCAATCCTGTAGTTTTAGTTTATACTAAGTTCACAATCTCAGCTGCAAAAATTTCCTTCAGCTGTTAAATCTTTTGCTTTACTAATTGTAGGTCAGATTCAACGTACTACAGTATGTTGTTCCAGAAGTGAAAGACCTTTACAACTGGCTAGAAGTGGAATTCAACCCACTAAAACTCTGTGAGAGAGTCACAAAGGTAAGCCTTTTGTCTTCAAGTTTTGATTATGTTACCTTGTAGCAGGCATTATTGCTGTTTGGCTTTGCATTTATTTTTGTTTAGAGAATTGTGATGTATTTCTGAATCAGTGCACACTTCATTGTCTTTTTTCTTTATATTAAGAGAAAGGATATTTCTGGTGTGCTAAACAAACCTTTGGAGGTAAATTAGCAGCATGACTTAATTTTAGCCATCGCTGTCAGTCACCTTCAAACAAGTTTCAATAGCTTGATGAGAAATTTTTACGTTGTATTATGTTTTTGTATATTGAGAATTTCAGATGAAGTGTAATTCTTTTACAATTTAATGATTTTATAGGTTCTAAATTGGGTTAGGGAACAACCAGAAAAGGAACCAGAGTTACAACAGTATGTGCCTCAACTGCAAAACAATACTATACTTCGCCTTCTACAGCAGGTAAAAAATGCAGATGAATGGTTTATAAAGGAACTGACATTTCCCCATAAAACTAAAAACTGGAAAGTGAAAGCCTCCCCAAGTTCTACCCTTGCCCAAATTAGTCTTACTGTTGGTTATTTTGAAACACAGAATTACTTAAAACTGCTTTTCTCTTTTTTGCTGATTACTAACTTTTGTGCATTTTCCTTATTCTTATTCCTTTTCTATACCTATATGGTTTTTCATAGTTGGAAAGTACCATGGTGTACTTATATTAAGACTCTCTTAATGAAAAACCTGTATTTCTACTATTTTTTTTCCCTATTATAAAATCCTGCAGCATTGAGCATCTTACATTCTTGTGTCTTTGCATACAAATGGGACTTTCGGTAGCATAAGAAGTGGAATTAGTTACACAGCTTAAACAATGAAAGCTTTTAATAGCTCCTCAGAAGACTCAGCTAATAGACTGTCCCATCAATAGTGAACGAGACAGCCTTTTTCCTTCTACTAAAACTAGGTATTACTATCTTTTATCACATTTTGCTCCATCTTGTTGAGTAACTTTGAATGTTATGTTTATAATGACTTACATTCTTCTGGTTTTTTGCTTGGGGAAGTCTTTATTATATTGTTCACTTAAGTGTCTGCACATTTCATTGACCTGCTTTCTTTTGTATATGTGAGCAGTGTTATTTCTTATGTGCTACATAAAGAATTGATGGCTAATTAGCAGAATAACTATACATAGTAATGCTGCCAGTCTCCTTCAGACAAAAGGTTTTATAAAAATGTTTTGATTTATTAGGTAAGCAGCAAGTCTTTTATCTATAAACACATGGCCATTTAGTTTTTGTTTTATAAAACTGTGGTTTCAAAAGTTTGCATGCTTGAAAAATTGTGTAATTTGATGGTTCACAGCGTAGGGCGAACCTGGGATTGCAATTCTAGCTCTAAAAATGTACTGTTAAGATAAATTGTCTCAAGTGTCAGTGTCCTCTTCCTCCCCCTCCAACCTTGGGCACAATTTCTACTTCCCATGAGATTGCACATAAAAAATACCTGAATAAGTGATAGTTGTTGTTATTAACCCTGTGTTTTCTATGCAGGTGGCACAGATTTATCAGAGCATTGAGTTTTCTCGTTTGACTTCTCTGGTTCCTTTTGTTGATGCTTTCCAACTGGAACGGGCTATAGTAGATGCAGCCAGACACTGTGACCTGCAGGTATGTTCTGTAAGGGGACATGAGGTGTGGGCTGAAGGCCTCTGAGGAGTAGAAAGACATACGTCTTTTGTTTCTCAGCTTTTGGTACAGTGGCATGTTTTTAAACCTTTACTGAGTAATCCCCCTGCTTTACATAGCATTTGTTTGTTAATTTCCTTTTCAAATTCAGTTGAATTTTTTTTGGGGTGGGGGCAGGTTAGTGGGATTGGGGTTTGAACTCAGGGCTTCATGCTTGCAAAGCAGGCTGCTTTGCCACTTGAGCTGCAACTCCAGTCCATTTCGCTTTGGTTATTTTGGAGATGGGGTCTTCTGGACTATTTGCCTGGGCTGGCCTTGTAACCATGATCCTCCCGTTCTCAGCTAGTATTACAGATATAAGCCACTTGCTCCCAGCTTTCAGTTGATTGATTTTTATTTTTTTTAATACTGGAGTTTGAACTCAGGGCCTCACACTTACTGGGCAGATGCCTTACCACTTGAGCCACTGCTCTAGCCCTTTTGTGTTTGGTATTTTTGAGATAGGGTCTCTTGAACTATTTGCCCAGGATTGACTTTGAACCTTGATCCTCCTGATCTCTGCCTCCTGAGTAGCTAGGATTACAGGTGTGAGCCAAGTGCCCAGCTTTGTTGAGTATTTTTAATCAAGCCATTTATAGGATGATTTTATGTTAAGTAAGATTTAACCACTGGTAATTTTCAAAGGTTCGTATTGACCACACTTCTCGGACTCTGAGTTTTGGATCTGATTTGAATTATGCTACCAGAGAAGATGCCCCCATTGGTCCTCATCTGCAGAGCATGCCTTCAGAACAGATAAGAAATCAGCTCACAGCCATGTCCTCAGTGCTGGCAAAAGCACTTGAAGTCATCAAGCCAGCTCATATACTGGTATGGATCTTTAGGGGGAAATGAATTACAGAGTTTTGAGGGACTCAGTGTTTTTCCACAAAATGGCTTGAGACTATATCTGGGGGGGAGGGATTTATTATCTATTTCCTATTCACTTGTACTTTTTATGAGACAGGGTGTCATTGTGTACCCAGGTTGGCCTCAAACTCATCTTGCCTCCACCTCTTAAGAGCTCACACTTCGAGGTGTGAACTGTCATTCTTGGCCCAGTTTGTTTTTTTATCAAATATTTTTATTAGATAAATCATTGAACTGCCTTCCATGATTTAAAATATTATATTAAGTAGGTAGTAATAATGTACTACACATAGCCATGGTCCCCAAAATAGTAGGGTACAGTGATTAGGCATTTCTTTCCTGCTTAAGTTATTGTTTGTGTATTCTGTTAGTACTTCTCCTTGGGTTGAACACTTAAGGTAGATTTGTTGCAAAGAACAGTTGACTTGTAAACAGAAGTGTTTCTAGGCAGGCACTGAACCATTTGAGCCATGCCTCCAGCCGTAGAAGATAACTTATTTTTTGGCACTATTGGGGTTTGAATTCAGGGTTTGGCTTGCTAGACAGATGCACTCTTCTGCTTGAGCCACACCTTTAGCATTTGGCACTGGAAACAAATGGCTTGGATAGCAGTAGCTCCTGTACAAAATGCAGATACGTAGAAGGGAAGTATATCAGGATTATTGTGTTTTTGATGCCCAATACCAGGATAATCATTTTTGAAAATGCATTTGTTTTTGAAGCAAGAGAAAGAAGAACAGCATCAGTTGGCAGTTACAGCATACCTTAAAAATTCACGAAAAGAGCATCAGCGTATCTTAGCTCGCCGTCAGACAATTGAGGAAAGGAAAGAGAGGCTTGAGAGTCTGAATATTCAGCGTGAAAAAGAAGAACTGGAGCAGAGAGAAGCTGAGCTCCAGAAAGTACGAAAGGCTGAAGAGGAGAGGTTGCGCCAGGAGGCAAAGGAGAGAGAGAAGGAGCGGATCTTACAGGAACACGAACAAATTAAAAAGAAAACTGTTCGAGAGCGTTTGGAGCAGATCAAGAAGACAGAACTGGGTGCCAAAGCATTCAAAGATATTGATATTGAAGTATGTAGCTTATTATGTCTAAAGAGTTTAGTTTTATTCGTGTCTTCTGTACTCTTAGAAACATACTCTTTTATTATTGTTGGTTTGTTTTTTGTTATTTTGTGTCGTTTATTACAACTAACTTCTAGGAGTGAGCATTTGGTTTTAAGTCACTGCATCTTTACAGGGTAGAGTTGGGTAGATGTAGTGAGAAGTAGCTGTTAGGAGTTATGCCTATATTTTCTCAAGCAAAAATAAAGCTATTGTATAATATTTTTATATTTCCTTAGATAAACACCTGTTATGAGAAAAGTAATGTAAGATTTGATTGTAGGCAAGTACTATGAGCTCTGTTGACTGGTCAGCATTTTGATACGCTTTCAAGGGCACGTTTGTATTACTTTTTAGGACCTTGAAGAATTGGATCCAGATTTCATCATGGCTAAACAGGTTGAACAATTAGAAAAAGAAAAGAAGGAACTTCAAGAACGTCTTAAGAATCAAGAAAAGAAGGTAAGTGTAAGGATCAGTAAACTTTTAACATAAGTTAACAGATATTTTTAAAACCTTCATTTGTTTTCATATCATTCAGATTGACTATTTTGAAAGAGCTAAACGTTTGGAAGAAATTCCTTTGATAAAAAGTGCTTATGAGGAACAGAGGATTAAAGACATGGATCTGTGGGAACAACAAGAAGAAGAAAGAGTTAAGTTTTTTATTTAATTTAATATTTTTGATTTTAAGCTGTAATTCACTGCCAGTAATGGAACCAGAGTTTCATAATGATTAATTTTGTATTCTTTTGCTAGACATGGTGCCTTAATGGCTGCTTACTAACAGCTTGGTGGTAAGATAGAGAAGAAATGTTCACAATAGAGATTAAAAATGCAGCTTAAAAAATAGCTTTCTGGCTGGTGGAGTGGCTTAAGCACACGGGCCTGAGTTCAGTCTCCAGTACAATGAATTGTGCAGCCATTACCACATCCAGATTTTCAGAACATACCTCAGAACTTAACACTGTACGCATTAGCAGTCACTGCTCATTTCTCTATTACCTCAGCCCTTAGGCATCCACTCATCTACTTTTTGTCTTTAGATTTACTGTTTAAATTAAATCATACACTGTGTATCGCTTCTCGGCCTTTTGGGTAAGATCGAGTGTAGTATCTGTTCTTATCAGTTTAATATCTGATACGTCCTCTATCCGAGGACAATATATTAAATGGATTTTTGGAGCAGGGAGATGGAATGGGGCTTGCTCCGTCCACTCCATGCATCGACCTGGCATTGCAGTACCTCCGGGAACGGTGCACAGAAAAAAAAATCATACACTGTGGTCTTTTGTGACTTAAATGGCTCATTCTGTAGTTTAGTTTGTCTGCAGCATATTTGCCTTATGATACAAATATGTAATGAAATTGAGTGATTCTAGTTAAAAAGTAACAACAGTCAGGAGATAGTTTATGCCTGTGGGGAGCTTGGGGCCTGGTAGTGCAGCCTCGAGGTTCCATCTAACCTGATTGTTGCTATTCAGAGATGTTGTCAGTTCTTCCAATTTTTAAAGAACAAGTTGGACTTGTGTTGGTAATTCTCATGTTTTAAGATATAAATACTTACTTAGAAATGGAAAGTACTACAGACCAAAACATGTACTTGGGACAATCTGGAGCCTTCCTTATGTTATCCTGCCTTCACCTCCAATTGTTTTTAGAGAAGGCTGTGTCTTTAAAAATTAAAGTTATGCTTAGTACATGTGGTATTTATTTCATTTTACCCTTATGTTATAGCCTGTCCTTTTTAAAAATTTCTGGTGCCCTGGTGCTAAATAAAATCTGCCTTTTACAGCTGCCCTAGAACTACCTTACCTACCTCTGGTCCTAAATTGTTTTTTTTTGGAGACCTGTTAGCATGGCCCATTTTTATAATGAGATGGGAGGGGGGGAAAGCATGTGTTTCTAATTTTTCAAGAATATCTAGTAGTAATGTGTTTGGGGAAAGTTAATAATAAATAGCAAACACTTGAAGTTTAACCTTGTCTTACCTATGCACTTGCAGATCACCACCATGCAGCTTGAACGTGAGAAGGCTCTTGAACACAAGAATCGAATGTCAAGGATGCTGGAAGACAGAGATTCATTCGTGATGCGGCTCAAAGCTGCCCGGCAGTCTATTTATGAGGTGAAGTTACTTTTTTAGGGAAAAATTTGTGAGTGTCTTGGTTTTGTATTAAAAGGATTTTCCTGTATCACAGTGGTATTATATTCCTTCTAGTTAACATATATAATGATAATTTAAATAATTTTTTTTACGTTCTGCATATATTTTAGCTATTTTTATTTTATTGTTATGCTGGGGCGTACATTTTGACATTTACAAGCATTCTTAACAATATATCAAATATAGTTGAAGTCATCACGTTCACCCCCTCCATCATTCTCTTATCCTTCCTCCCTCATCAAATAATATGTTAACAGAAATTTTTAGAATTTTATAGGCCAATATAGTTAATGTTTGAACAGACTTTTTGAAAAGGGGCAGTTAAATGTATGGGCTTCTTTGATAGGTGTTCTTTGTTTTTTTTTTTTTTTTTTTTTTTTATTATTTTTGAGACAGGGTCTTGCTATGTAGCTCAGACTGGCCCTGAGTTTGTAATTCTGCAATCATCTTCCTGAGTGCTGAGATTATAGGTTTACACCACAACTTCCAGCTTGATATAAGCTATTGTTTACTTTTGATACTGAAATAAAAAAAAAGATCAAAATATCTTGATGTTCTGTTTACTCATTTGATTTATTTTATATAAATTTAAACCCACTGAGTATAGATTTTATTTTATTTATTTGTTTATTTATTTTTTGCGGCACTGGCGTTTGAATTCTCTTGTTAGGCAGAGGTGCTCTTACCACTTGAGCCACTCAGTCAGCCCCTAGATGTTTTTCTTTTTGACATTACTAGGGACTGGATACATGCTAGGCAAGCACTCTGACATTGAGCTACACCTCCACGTGCTTGCATGTAGGTAATCTTGACAATTTAAATTTCTAAAAAGTTTAGCATACTGATAAAACTTCATCATTTGGAAATTCTGGCTTTTGTATTTGGTGTACCATCAGCTTTCTTTAGTTCTAAGAAATTGCAGATCTTGTAAACTTAAATTCATTCCTAGTTTGTATCTTTGGAAAAAAATTGATATTTTTATAACTCTTCAATCTTAGGAAAAACTTAAACAGTTTGAACAGCGATTAGCAGAAGAAAGGCATAATCGCTTGGAAGAACGGAAGAGACAACGGAAGGAGGAACGCAGAATAACATATTATAGAGAAAAAGAAGAAGAGGAGCAGAGGAGGGCAGAAGAACAAATGCTAAAAGGTAACTATTAGATCAAGATTTGGAGTTAGGTGATGCAAGGTTTATGTTATTTTAGAAAATACAGAAACCCATCTAGGGTTACATTTAAGGGAAAAAACCCCAGAAATCCAGATAATAGGCCTCTTAGCACTGCATATAACCTAGTGACACGTAAAGGTCACTTACTTTTCTTCATATATTTATTGTGCTTTTAAAAATGCTTGCTCTTTTCACTGTATTCTGTGTGGGTATTAATATTTTGAGAAACACATGGTCCCTATGTCTAGAATCTCAGATTGGAGTAGGGACCCTAGTCTCATTGTGAGTCATTACAAAACTATTTCTGTTGAGTGGCATAATGTCTTCTGCCTTTTAGCTGATGGCCCCTGTTTTATAATTCTTAAATTCTACTCTGTTTCCTGCTTGGTATCAAAAAAACAGGCCTAGCACTAGGGAATAGGTGTGGGTAGGAGACTCATTCAGTAACTATAAAATTACATAGAGCGAGAAGAGAGAGAGCGTGCTGAGCGAGCAAAACGGGAGGAAGAGCTTCGAGAGTACCAGGAGCGGGTTAAGAAACTAGAAGAAGTAGAAAGGAAAAAACGTCAAAGGGAGTTGGAAATTGAAGAAAGAGAACGTCGTAGAGAAGAAGAGAGAAGACTGGGTGATGACCCACTTTCTAGGAAGGTGAGTATAGAGATTATTGACTTGATTCTGTCTTGATAAGATTCATGTTTGCTTTTATGATACCTAGAGGGTGGCCTGAGTCCTCTCACACTTTTATTTAACCTGCAGCATGGGAATCACCTGGGAGCTTGTTAGCATTATAAATTCTCAGGCCCACCCCAAACCTTCTGATTCAGAGTCTGCATATTTTAACCGGACTCTTGGATGATCCAAACACTTCTATGCATTTATTTTTAATATTACTTGTGCCCTCTTTTTTGTTGTTTTTTTTAAGGAGGCACTGGGGTTTGAACTCAAGGCCTCACTAGGCAAACACTCTACTGCTTGAGCCACTTCACCAGCCCTTTTTTGAGATAGAGTCTCCTGAACTGTTTGCCCAGCCAGGGCTGGCTTTGAACTGCTGTCTTCTTGATCTCTGCCTCCTGATTAGGTAGGATTACAGGCTTTAGCCATTGGTGCCTGGCTTCCCTTCTTCTTCTTTTTTTTTTTTTTTTTTTTGTCCTGTTACCTTAATTCAGAGTTTTCTTCAGCCTCTATGTCATTTCCTGGTCTCATATTAGTCTCTTCAGCCATAACCTTCCCCAGCTCAGACCTTCAGACCTGCTCCAGTTCCCAAAATGCTGCGAATTTCCTTTGGTTGATACTACTGAGAGCCAGAGGCAAATCATGCCTTATTCAAGGCCTTTCATGGTTACTGCCTTTTATTCACCAGTTTCATTTGTTACTATTTTCTCCCAGTCACCTATCCTCCAGCCATTCTGAGCTAGTTTTCTGCATCATGTGGCTGTCATCTGTCTCTGTGCTCTTCCTTTTGCTCGGAATGTGCCCACTTTGCCCCATAAACATTTGCTTAGTTTTTCAAGGAGGAGAGAATTTCATGACATGCCTTTACTCCTTTATCTGTACCACACCTATACTGGATGCTTGTCTTTATCTTCATTTTCTGCTTTTATCATCTACAGAGATAAGTTTTATATGTTTAGGACTTACTGCTATTTTTCATTTCACTTGTTATTTAAAAATGCGTGGTAGCTAAATTTAAAAAAATTTAGTGCATTTTTTTCCTTAAGTTTTGTGAATGTTCTTTTTCTGTTGAACACAGTTGGTATGTATGAAGTCAGGATTGTATTTAAAATCTGCCGCATCCTGTTAGTTTTATGGGAATTTGATTTTCCAAGGAAACTGACCTGCTCTGACTTATCTTTTTGTTCATTTTCAACCTTTTGCTTAAGTGTTGCAGTCATGCTGCCCTTTCAACTGTTTTTTCTTGATCTTTTTATGTTTAGCATAACTTTTAATTAGTTCTATACCTAACATTTGCTTCCATGCCCCTGGCGCCACTTTCTAAAGCCAAGGTCAATTAAGAACTTTTCAGATCTATCTAAAATTTCACTGAATAAATCTAGAATTTTCATCTGCTTCTTAAGAACAAAATCAAATTCTGAGCATGGCTTCTACTTGTGGGTTTTTTTCCTTTTTTTGTCAACAGTTTGAGGGTTTTTTTTTTTACCCCCACCAGTACTGGGGTTTGAACTTAGGGACTATACCCTGAACCATTCCACCAGCCTTATTTTTGTGATTGTTTTTTTCCCCTAACCAGATAGGGTCTTGTGGAACTTTTTGCCTGGCTAGTTTCAAACTGCGATCCTCCTGATCTCTGCCCACTAAGTAGCTAGGATTACAGGCATGAGCCACCGGCGCCCGGCAATAATTTGAGTATGTTTTTGCCTCAGAGTCCTTAAATAGTCTCTCCTTAGGACTCTTAGTGTTTAAATTTTACAACCAAGTGAGCAAATAAACATTGTCTCAAATATGTTGGCACAGTGTATTTGCACTGTAGCCTTTTTCCAGATACCTTTTTGTTTGGTTTAATGTATTGTCTTAGTTTTTTTAGAGTGTCTTTGTGTATGTTTCAAAAGAAGTTTTGTTTTTTTCTCTGTATTGAACAATAGGTCAATGTTTGGCCTGTTAAAAATCATCTTCTCAGGAATGTAGAGATCTCTGTTTTTAACACAGAGGCTGGAGAGTACTTCATATTAGCCTTGGTCTTGTTACTTATGTAGATACTGTTTCATTTGTTGGAAACTTTTTCTTGTGGTGCTGGGGATCTTGTGGCCTTGCACATGCTAAGCAGGCACGGAGCTAGATTCCTGAGCTCTCCCTTGAAATCTGAGAATTGTCCCTATCCCTTGATAAAGGGAAGTTGGTAATTTCACTAGGACTGTTCAGGCTCATTGTGTACTGAGACATGTCCTCCTCAGTTTCCTGAGTGCTGGGATTACAGCTGTGCATCACCATGCCCAACTATGTACGATCATTTTATTCTTCACTTTTGCCCTTAAGTCTGAAGATTCACTCTCATTAGGAAAGGTAAATTTCCTTCACTTCAGGCAGCTGCTCAGTTTTCTCTATTCTTGCCTTTACAAAGTTTTCTGTGTCTTTTACTGTTTCTTCTTGTCTTTGTTTTTTGTCCCAGGTTTTCTGAAATTCCTGTTTAGGTTATGTGTTCCTCAGCAGGGCATATTTTGTTAGTTATCTGACACACTGACTTTAAACAATTTATGGCAGTTATTATGTTTTAGAATTCTTTGTTTGTTTGTTTAGTGGCTATTACAGCTATCCTTAACAACCCCATGTGAAGTTTTAATATTTGTACTGTTAAGCCCTTAATCCTTGTTGAATATGACATGGAAGTTAAATATGAGGGGTGGGAGAGACTTGGTGTTTCAGATGAGGGTGTTTCTACTATTGTAGTTTACATTGGCTGTTAAATCAGTATTTTCTCTTAAGAGTGCTTACTTTGAAAGTCTGCTAGAACAATATCCATTTTAAGAAATAGCTCTGATGGCAAGGGACCCAGTTATTATTTGGTCACTCTTGTCCTTTACTGTTTCTCATCTCTGGCTGTTATTGGAGGGTTTTACTCCCAAGGAAGTTAAAATTGTTTTTGAGTGTAGGAGTGGGTGCTATGGATTAAACATGCTCTCTACTGCCGACTTACACTCTAGCCTCTAATATTTTTTCTTTTAAATAAAAGTCCTCTTAGTCACAAAACATTTCACATTATAAGTCATTCTTACTAGGTTTTTCAGTTTCAATTTTAGTCTCACCATCCTACCTGTAGATCTCTATTTAAATACCTTCCAAAGTGTTCCTACAGGATTGTCCACCTGTAGAAAGGTTATGTCAGCTTTACATTTTCAGCATAAGGGGGTGAGATAGCTTCTTAGAGTTTTTAGTGACAGCACAATACTCTGAAGAAATACTGTTAATATAGTTACTCCTTATGAATGAGAGACATTTATTGCTTAGTTTTTTTGTTGTTTTGTTTTTTAACATTTACTTCATTTGCTTACATAGTTGGAAAGGAGCATTTCTAGGTCAAAGGAGATCTGTGCACATTTTAATGGCTCCAGGTCGGTGCTCAGGTTTTTTCCCAGTGGAGTTTATAAATTCATCCATAATGTATGAGGAGACCATTTTCACTGTACTGTCTGAATTCACGTTAAAAAAGAAAATTTGGTACATGCTCAGATTTAAGAGCTTGAGATTGCATAGAAAGAGAATGAGAAAACTTTTTTTTTTTTTTTAACAGTGCTGGGGTTTGAACTAAGGGCCTTGCCTACACAAGGCAAGAACTCTTACCATTTGAGCCACACCCCTCTGCCTTTATGTATTTTGTTTTTAGGAGAAGGTCTTGTTAACTTTGCCTGACATGGCGTAGAACTCAGGTCTTTCTACCTCTTTCTCCTAGTAGCTAGGGTTTCTCACCATTCCTGGTTTAAGAATGAAATTGTTTGGTAAATCCCGTAGTCTTAGTCACTGTGGTGCTTCTCGTTCACTTTGCTGGTGCAGGACTCTCGTTGGGGAGATAGAGATTCGGAAGGCACATGGAGAAAAGGTCCTGAAGCTGATTCCGAGTGGAGAAGAGGCCCACCAGAAAAGTAAGCAGAATTAATGGAAAAAGAGCCTCTAGTCACAGGTCCTGTAATACTGTATCAGTGGGAAAAGAGCACTGTGAAGAATTGTATGTGTGCCTGTTACCAAAAAATTTATTTTTTGCTATAGAAATTTTTCATAGTTCACTTCACAATTGCTCAGATTTTTAATTTCCTCACCTAACATATTAGGTTTAGGGAATAAGAACATTTTTCTTTTCCTTTAAATTTGGTAAGTCCTTTTATTTAATTTTGTATTGATTTTTCACAGTGCTAGATGTTGAACGCAGGGCTCAAGAATGCTAGGCAAGCACTGTACCTGAACTACATGCTCAGCCCTTGAACTATGTTTTAAAATAACTACTGGTGATAGTTTTAATTCTTGTACAGAAGTTAAGTTTAGGAAGTTCATTGTAAAAGATTTAGAAATTGCCAGTATACTTTCGGGAAAGTGTAGATAACTTTTTTTAGGCTATTGTCTGCTTACTTGTCTATGTATTGATGTAAGATTTGGATTTGTGTTGTTTTTTTATGAGGAAAAGATTTTTTTAAGGATCAGGATTAATTTATTTAGACTAAAGTGTTTTTTAAAAGAGCAAAATCAAAATTCCCTGTAAGAGCCATATGATTCCTAAAAAGTTTTGTTCTTAAATATATATGACCTGTTGCTTTGTAGGGAGTGGAGACGGGGAGAAGGGCGAGATGAGGAGAGGCTTCATAGGAGAGATGAAGATCGGCCAAGGCGTTTGGGGGATGATGAAGAGAGAGAGTCTTCTCTTAGGCCAGATGATGATCGAATCCCTAGGCGTGGCCTGGATGATGACAGAGGCCCTCGACGTGGACCTGATGAAGATCGCTTCTCTCGTCGTGGGGCTGATGATGATCGTCCTTCCTGGCGTAATGCAGATGATGACAGGCTCCCCAGACGAACTGATGATGAGAGAGGAAGCTGGAGGCATGGGGATGATGACAGGCCTCCTAGACGGGGACTGGATGACGACAGAGGAAGCTGGAGAGCAGCGGATGAGGACAGAGGACCAAGAAGGGGGATGGATGAGGACAGGGGTCCACGACGAGGAGGTGCTGATGATGAGCGATCATCCTGGCGTAACGCTGATGATGACCGGGGTCCCAGGCGGGGCATGGATGACGACCGGGGTCCCAGGCGGGGCATGGATGACGACCGGGGTCCCAGGCGAGGGATGGATGATGACCGGATTCCCAGGCGAGGGTTGGATGATGACCGAGGACCTTGGAGGAGTGCTGATGATGACAGGATCTCCAGGCGTGGTGCAGATGACGACAGAGGCCCTTGGAGAAACATGGATGATGATCGCATCTCTAGGCGTGCTGATGATGATCGGATTCCCAGACGGAGTGATGACTCAAGACCTGCTCCCTGGAGACCATTTGTCAAGCCAGGTACAATTATGGTATCCAGAAAACTAGTCAGATGATTTAGGGAATTTTGATGTGTTTACATGTAGAAAGTGACATTTTAATGATCAAAGGACAGACTAGGCTATATTGTCATTTTCTGTATAAAGGGTCTGTCAGAAGCTTGCCTTTGGTATCTCACACTCCAAAACAAGTTGAATACCCTTGTGTCTCTCTTCTGTAGTGGCTCTTTTTGCTTGCTGGTTGCTGCTTTGAAGGTTCTTTCTGTACCTATTCATAAAGCAAAGGACAGACTAGGCTATATTGTCATTTTCTGTATAAAGGGTCTGTCAGAAGCTTGCCTTTGGTATCTCACACTCCAAAACAAGTTGAATACCCTTGTGTCTCTCTTCTGTAGTGGCTCTTTTTGCTTGCTGGTTGCTGCTTTGAAGGTTCTTTCTGTACCTATTCATAAAATACTAGCAGGTTCTTTGTGTTCTTTCCTTGACCAGCCTCCTCTTAGAAATAAATCGTTAAATCAGTGTATTTGTGCACACTCTGCCACCATGGCACACGTGGAGGAACTCATTTTTCTGCCACCTTAGTCCCAAGCTGGGTCCTTTGCATCTGCCTCCTGAGTAGCTAGTATTACAGGTATGCAATACTGTACCCAGCCTTTTCTTTTTCCTCCTTTCTTTTTTTCTTGAGATATACTCTCACTTCATAGTCTATGCTGGCCTCAAACTCAGATCCTCCTGCTTCCCTCCTTCCCACTGCTGGGATGGCAGGTGTGTGCCAACACAGTAGACTCTATTTTATCACTTATGCCTGTCATTTAGTGTTCAGTTCAGTCTTTTTGAGGATCCTTAGACCTACCCACTTTTCTCTGCTTGTACTTGGATCTGGTTTGCCATCCTTTAAAGCTCTTTTAAACAGTCAAGTCACTATCAAAAATCACAAAGATGTGACAGTATGGTACTAAATATAAATAAATAGGCCCTGAAAAAGAAAGATACTTGTTTATGGTAAGAGCTGCAACTAGAAGGCAGAGTCCTGACTTCAGCTGTCATATGTGTGTCTGGCCACTTAATTTTCACTGCTCTATGAGTGAGTGTAAAGTGCCACGAGTATTAATTTTGAGATTACAAATTTTAGCAAGTACAGAATCTGCCAGCAGTAAGAATCAGCTCAGCTATGGATAGGATTGAACTAGTTAATTTAAGTAGTGTGTTGATGTAGTCGTTTGCCACGTTAATATCAATGTTAGTGACACTAATTAACTTTGCAATCATATAATATACTTTCATTGAAATCCTTGCTTCTTTTGAACTCTGCTTCATACAACATTTGTAGGTTCAGGTATCCCATGGCTGTGAGATGCTGGGCAATGTCAAAGTATTTTTTTATCCTTGTGTCATGACTAAATAGTGGGGTGGGGAGTGTTAGAGGATAGGAATATATGAAAGGAAAAAAATATCTTTTGGTGATGAAGGCTCTGAATATGTTGCAAGGTATAAATGAGTTCATGATTGGGTTTTAAGTTAACTGAGTATTCTCTTTACAAATTGGAACAGATTTTATACCTGAAATCAATGCATACAGTAGGAAAAAATTCAGTGATGTGTCCTATAGAGATATATGTCAGGAATACTATTACTGATGGGCAGTCTTTGTAGTGATGTATGTGGGTTTACTTTTTTATTTTTAAATGAAATTGGAGTATCTTAAATCAGCATTTCAAACGATGGTGAATTAAGGCCACTGCTAAGATCTTTTCAGGAGGGCTGAAGATGTAGCTTAGTTATAGAATGCTTGTCTAGCATGTACAAGGCCCTGGATTTGATACAGGTAATGACAAAAAAGAGATCTCTTCATGATTGCCAATTTCTTTTTTTTTTTTTTTCTCTTTCTTTTTTGTTTTGTTGTTCTTGTCTGCCAATTTGTTTCTTCTGGTGAAAAACAATCCTTTTTTTTTTGTTTTTTTGTTTTAAATATATATAGGTGGATGGAGAGAAAAGGAAAAAGCCAGAGAAGAGAGTTGGGGTCCACCTCGAGAAACAAGACCATCAGAAGAACGTGAATGGGATAGAGACAAAGACAAGGATAGAGACAATCAAGATCGTGAGGAGAACGACAAGGACCCTGAACGAGAAAGGGACAGAGAAAGAGATGGGGACCGTGAGGATCGCTTCAGGAGACCCAGGTTGGAGGCTGTAATTAACTCTTTGAGAGTTATAGTTAGGCTGTCCTAAACACCCTCTTGTGTATTTAAACTTTTTGAGAAGTTCAGTTCTTCACCCCTCCACCAGCATATAGCCCAGACCAAAAAAAAAAAAAGTGCTCATTTAACTTTACATTTCCTTGTACAGTAACTTTTAGGTAATGGACCTAGTCTGGGGATCTTTATCAGTCATCATTTTTTCTTTCTTTCTTTTTTTTTTTTCCTGCGGTACTGGGGCTTGAAATCAGGGCCTTCATCTTGAGCCACTCCACCAGCCCTGTTTTTGTTTTTCAAGATGGGGTCTGGCGATCCATTTGCCTGGGTTGACTTTAAACTGTGATCCTCCTGGATCTCTGCCTCCTGAATAGCTAGTATTACAGGCATGAGCCACTGGTACCCAGCAGTGCTTGCTTAAGAATAAACAATAGCTTCTTTACTTTATGTTATTAGTGGTAAAAGTTCTAGCTTGCTCCCTCTGTTAAAGTGGCCATGTATTGATGAAACTAGACAGCACTGCCCAGTATGATTTCTGAAAAGATGGAAAGTTCTGTATCTGTACTGTCCAGCATGGCAGCAGGCTGAGCATTTGGAATGTGGGTAGTGCTGCTGAGGAAACTGACCCGATTTAAGTTATATTTACATAGCCACATGTGGAAAGTGGCTCCTGTGTGTGATAGTATATCTAGGTGTCCTCATTTGCTCTCTGTGCCTAAGGTATCCATTCAAGGCAAGTTAGGAGTTTAAACTTTGTATCAATTAGATTGGTAAACTCTGAGAGAGAGCCAACTTTCCATATGAATCACTTAAAATTACCCATGAAGCTACTGTGAGCAAGAACTTAACTTGTCATTTGAAATGGCTACAGGGATGAAGGTGGCTGGAGAAGAGGACCTGCTGAGGAGTCTTCAAGCTGGAGAGATTCAAGTCGCCGGGATGACAGGGATAGGGATGACCGCCGGCGTGAGCGAGATGATAGACGTGATCTACGACGGGATCTAAGAGATGACAGAGACCGGAGGGGACCTCCCCTGAGATCAGAACGAGAAGAAGGTAGAATGATTACAACTGCTGTAGAGAGCTGTTATTCCTAGGGTGGGGTGGGGGTTATCTTACAGATTTGTATGAACACTAAAAGTAAGACAGTTGATACTCAGTTTAGAACCAAAATTCTCAGATGCTTAATGATCAAATTGTTGAAATAGCTCATCTCTCAAAATCGGAATACAGTGATAAACCAAACTGGATAATGGGCAGTATATGTTGATAAAGTTAAGTAAGGTCTGGCATGGTGACTCACCTGTAATCCTAGTTACTCAGGAGGCAGAGATCAGGATGATTGTGGTTGGAAGCCAGCTCGGGGAAATAGTTCCCGAGACCCTGTCGCAAAAATACCCAACACAAAATAGGGCTGATGGAGTGGCTTGCCTAGCAAGCATGAGGCCTTGAGTTCAAACCTCATTACCACCACATAAATAAAAGTTAAGGTCCTAATGGATAAGCAAAAAGTGTTCATCCTCTAAAACTAAAGTTTCAGTCATAAACAATACTGATAGTATATTTATTTAAAATGCCAGTTGTACTTAAGTACTTGTCTCACACTTTTAAAATTTTTGTCTGCATAGCAGGATCATAAGATTATTACAGACATAACACAGAACTCATTTTTTGGCTAATTTGCCATTCAAATTCTTCAGCAACAGCCAGAAATACTTTCAATTAAAAAATTTTCAGCCAGCCAGATTTTTGTCACCTTGTGTTTGAAAGTTTATAGTTACGGACAGTGACTTCTGCTTGTTTTCAGATTTTCAGTTTGTCTGTTAAAGGAATTTGGCAGAAATTACATCAAAGAAATTAAAATGTGCGAAGCTTTCATTGGTTTTCAGATGTGATTCTGTGTTGTAAGTCTTAAGTACAGGCAGAGACATTTGTTTTGCCTAAGTTCTGTTTAGTTTGAGCCTATTGAATGTATTCAAACTTGCGATCTTTAATATTTTTAAAATTCAACTATTTTTTTAGCAAGCTCTTGGAGACGTGCTGATGACCGGAAAGATGACCGGGCAGAAGAGCGTGATCCACCTCGTCGTGCCCCTCCCCCAGCTCTTTCACGAGAAAGAGACCGAGAACGAGAAAGGGAAGGTGAAAAAGAGAAGGCCTCCTGGAGAACCGAGAAAGATAGGGAATCTCTTCGTCGTACTAAAAATGAGACTGATGAAGATGGTTGGACCACAGTACGACGTTAAGTCTCAAGATGAAGATGGTGGATTCAAACTTGTGTCTTACATAGGTTTAACCACATTCAAGGATTACTATACTTGTGCTTCAACCAGTCTAAATTGGATTCTTTAATGTTGTCTCACCATAACACAAAGAGCATGAACTTGTATTAATCCTATATAAGATTGATCATGCACTGATCATGCACCTTCCACAGAAGGTTGGAAAACCATGCCATTTTCTGGAATTTAAGGTGTTGCATTATTTCATCAATCATTTGTTTACAAAAAAGAAAAACTCAAAAAATAAAAATGTGAACTCTTCAGGTATTAACACCTCTATCTTGGTATAGAACTGATTTTTTTTCCTTTTGATTTTGAAATATCCGATACTAATTTGGAATAAGGTAAGGTTCTGTTAAAACACATTTGAGGACCCTTTAAAAACTAGTGGATCTGGAACAGTTTTCACACCATTACTGGTTGAAACATGTACCTCCATAGGTATTTAAAGGTGTTTACTATTAACTAAATTTAGAGAGAGTTTTTAGGATCACATTAAGCTCAGCAAACATTACAAGCAATGGATTCAGTGGGGTTTTCTGTAGACTTTACTTGCGGAGGGGAGTAAGGTAATTTGCAGACGTCAGTGTACTACTCAAATGCGAATCCAAAACAGCACAGCTTTTAAATTCTAAAGCATTTGATAAACTGTCTCTTGAGTTTCTTCTATTGCCAATAGCAAACTGCTTTTCCATTAATGGAGAATTCATGCCTTTCAAACATTTTAAATATGACAATATTTATAAATGTGTGGTTTGGAGGAATTGTTTAAATTCTTTTTCCTAATTTCCTCTCTTCAGGATAGATTCTTTCAACAAGTAATTTGTAGTAATGACTGTGTTGACTTCAATTTTGGAGTGGGGAGGCTATGTTAAAGATTAACTATTTGGTCTTATTGAAGCCAACACAGAACTTGCTGCTGTGTTTTTCTTCAGTGATAAATAAAATACTTACAGAATTTGTTTTAGTGTTGATTTGTGATTACAAAGTTTTTTTTTTATGGTAGTAAGTTTGCATATTGATCTGACTTTATACTTGAGTTTTTATCAGTGCCATTAAATATCTGCTCAGTCAGTATAAAAATAGAAAATCATCTAAATATAGCAAATGAGTAGAATGTTTCCTCTAACTTTTCTTGAAATGCTGCCTTCTGAGTTGGTGTACATGTGGTGTGTGTGTGAGATACCATCTTGGATTTTCACTTAAGTTAGAAGAAATCATGTTAAATTTCAGGGAATGTTACTGAGTAGAGGTGAGAATTTCTGATGGCACAGCTGTGAGGGCAGAAGAGGGAGCATTGATGTTTTTCTACTTAATCGATGCTTGTTTGGTGTTACTGATATTTGGTGTTTCAAATATCTAGTATTTCAAATGTGGGCATCTTTTAAAAAGGCCTTTTGTGGGGAGAATGCCTTTTCTTTCAGAACAAGTAAAAAAAGACTTTAAATAAAGATCAATATTTGTATTGGGGCAAGAACTTATGAGTTTGTTACCAGAGATCAGAACAGTACATGTGACATCACAGATAAGCCTCAAGGGGATTCACTTCATCTGATGGATGTGACTTGGAGGTTTCGAGGCTGTTCTGTAAACCCACCCTTTCTGCTCAGCCTGTTTCCCAGACATCCTGTTCTCATTTCCTTTGTTCTGAGAGTCAGAACCCTAGAGCACAAAGTGGAGAGCAGAGGAGTCTCATGGCCGCTGCGTTGTGAGCTGGCTTCCACTATCACAGCCTTAAGAGCCTAGCCTCCTTCCCCCTACACTTGCAAGTATTAAGGAAAACTGAACAGCAGCCTACACACTGAGGCACCATGTGGTCCCCGTGTTTTAAACCAGAAGAGCATTGCTGTTAATGCTAATGGGTGTGAAGAAGAGACGTCCCACTAGTTGTCTATATGGTGCTTCCCAAGAAGAGGGTAGCAGCATCTCTGTGTGGGGGATGGTAGGAACCATGAGGTGGCCAGGTACGTTAAGTGCATGTCTGTAATCCCTGCACTGTGGAGGTCAACACAGGATTGTGAGTTCAAGGTCAGGTTTGGCTATAGAGCAAATCCCTATCTGAAAAGAAAAACCATGTTTTGTTTTTCCCCGAAGACATTTTGATGGCCGAATTTTATAATTGAAATTATTACACTGGAGGGAATGTTCAAATTGCTAAGAATAGAAAGGACTAAAACTCCCTTGAAAGTACACATATTTGTGATAGAAGTTCAAAATGTCTGACAAAAGCTCTAAGCTAGTAATTTTGCAACTTCTATAAAGGACTTTGTAGGAGAAATATTACCCCCCCCACACACAAAAAATAGCAACTGGAAGAACAGAAAAAGCAGCCTGTGCCCTGGCCTCTGGTAAAAAGTTCTTGAGAATTTACCTGCCAAACATACAACATATTCTTAAGGCAACTTTCTCACACTATTCTGTATATTTTTTTTGAAACTTGGGGTTTCTCTACCCTAAAATGTTTTGCAAAAGTGTTTAGTTTTACACTGAGTTCCAAGAATCACTTTTACATGGATGTGCTTAGGTATGCTATGGCAGTTAGCTATAGCCATCTCTCATATTGTATAAACTCCCAGTATTTGAGGCACATTTGGCACAGGGTGGGGGGTTGTGAACAGCAGTCTGACTGGTTCATATTCTACTTCAGGACTCCCCTGAAACCCCATGCTCAGCATTCTGAGTCTGGTAAAACGGTGATGTCCGAGTAGCGAATTAGTATTGGGCACCTCCCATTATGCACTCATGTACTGAGGCTATGCTAGTGCCACATGCCTAAGACTTTGGAGAGAGTAGTTTGGTAAGATTCACAACTGTGTTCTGCCACCTGTCTAGTCCCTTTTACATGGAGATTGCACTAACTTGAAAAAACGTGGATCAGTGAGGGAAGAGAATGGGAATTCACGTTGACTTGAAAAACTTCAGCCCTGAAATGAAGCTAATTTAAAGTAATGTGTCTTCTAGCAGAAGAAAAATTACATGGTTTTACTAGGCTACTTTTAGACTCAAATTTGCCCTCTGCTCTGGGGCTAAGACTAGCAGGGATAGATTTTCTTCCTTGCTAAGAAACAGCTCACAGTTACCCAGTGATTTTAACCTAGCCTCTATTCTACATTCTTGTAAGTGTCCCAAATCAAGTCAAGTTTTATTGGAGAGAAAGCTGTTTAATACAAAACCAGTCTAACTCTTAATACCCTAGCCAAATCCTCCTCCTGGAAAGCTTTATATGCTGAAGACTAAATCTCTCTTGCTGGTATTTTCAGATAGTGGCGTTTGTTGGTTTCTGATGAGTTCATGTTAATTCACTTCCGTCTTTGTCGCCATTTGGTCTTGATGGTAGGTAGCTACATGCCATGCTTGGCACTCACCAGGAACCTTTGAGGGTTAGGTTTAATCTCACACATAACGTGGGTTCCATTCCAGTAAGAATGGGGACACACATTCTTTTTGTCTCCACTTCCCAACAATTGGTGCTTATTCTGGTGCACCTCCTACCTACCTAAAGCCAGACAGCCCAAAGTGAACCTTCCCAAACCCAGGTTATTAGCTTCCCATCTGTTTTAGTTTGAGGAGAACAGGTGAAATAAGCTTTCCTCTGTGAGTTAGGAGTCCTGACACCGATCAGAGTGAGCTAATAACACTGTTCTGGCAGTTTTTAGATCTTTGCTTGATATTTTTATCCTAATATCGTAGAGGACTGTAAGGTATTGGCAATGGGGGATGGGTGCATAGAGAAAATGCCAAATAGTTACAGGTGAGATTGATTAATTCATACTGTTACTGTATAAATACACAAGTCTTTTAAACAGCACCATTTCCAAGTGTATACACAATGATTATGACTTGGCACAATTTGTAGAAGTTGCTAGTCCAGTAATAAAATATCTGGTACATAAAAGGATAGATAAGGAGCTATATTCTACCTGCTACAGATGTGCATTTAAGCTTCCAGCTAGGACAGAAACTAGCCACAAAGAGGGAATACCCTCCCAAAATAAACTTTGGAAAGTGTACTAAGCCTTCACTTCTTGTAACTCTGAAGCCGCCAGGGGCTTGGTTCCCCTAGAATTCGAGTAACTGACTAGGGACAACTAAAATATTAATTGCATCTAACAATAAAAGTCATTTTGCGGACACTCCATAAAATCGCCAGATTTAAGCTCAGTTCAGAGGCTATTAAAAAAATATTCTAGACCTAGTAAAGTGTCTCCATTCATAAAACGAAACATCGAAGATAGACAATTTCATACTGACGCGCATCTAAAATAAGCGGACGTGTACGGTAAACAGCGCTGCTCAGTCGCCGCGTCCCAGCCAGCGCACTGCACACCCAGCCTTCCGTTCTGAATGTGCGCAAACTGCAAGCTGGAGAGACAAAATTCCGGATTTCAGCGTGTGGTCTCCACCGCTCCCCAGGACAGTACCCCGCATAGCCGGCTGCTTCGGAAAAGCAGCCAAGACGACGCCTGCAGTTGGTCCAGCTGCCGAGCTCCAAGTGCGAGCGGGTCCCCCGCGCGGGCTGCGGGCCGGGTGGCGCAGCCCGGGCCTCAGCGCAGCTTCTTGCCGGCCAGGCTGTCCCTGGCGCTGCGCGGTGGCGGCGGCGCGCGGGCGGCTGGCAGCGGTGGCACTTTGGAGAGCGGGCAGTATTTGATGGTGTGCGCGTTGTCGCCGCTGGCGCCGCACAGGGGACACGTGTAGCGGCGCAGCACCGGGCACAGCACTCGCCCGTCGGGGCCCTTGAGAATGTGGGTGGTGTAGAGCGCCACCGCCTCCTTGTTGTTCCGGCAGAACACGCACACCTGCAGCTCGGGCTTGAGCAGCCGGGCGGCGGCCGGCCCAGAGGCCGGGTGGAGGCGAGGCTCGGTCGCCCACGCCGGGGCCCGCTCCTCGCGTGGCGTCACCTCGGCCGTGGTGGCAGCGGGCGCACAGCCCAGCAGCACCGCCGCGGCGCGACCCGCGAACGGGCTGAGCTCGGCGAAGCGCTCCTCCAGCAGCCCGGCCTCGGCGGGGCCCGCGCACAGCTCCAGCGCGCGCAGCTCCAGCGCTCCGCCCAAGTAGCGGCCCCGGGACCCTGGCTCATCGCTGTCGTCGTCGTCGTCGTCCTCGTCGTAGTCGGGCGGCCCCAGTGTCGGCCCCGGCGCCCGGGGCCCGGCCCCCACGTGGGGGGAGCAGCAGGACGAGGAGGAAGAGGAGGGCGGGGAGCCGCAGCCGCCGCCGCCACCACCACTGTCACCACCACCACCACCACCGTCCCCACCGCGGGTGCAGCCGATGCGCGACTCTCCGTCCACCGCCTTGGTGATGAGCGTGGCGAGCCCCAGGTAGTCGTTCCACGAGCTGAAGGGCTGCGGGTGCGCCGGGCCCTGGGCGCTCACGTAGCGGGCACTGGGCACGAGCGCCATGGGCGCGGGGGCGCGGCCGCGGCGGGGCGAGCGGGGCGCCCAGGGGAAAGCCTCCATGGGCGGGCTGCGGGCCGCGCGCAGCCTCCCCGCCGCCGGCGCGGGCCAGACGGACGGAAGAGACACGCCGAGTCTGCCCGCCGGCCTGCCGCGGGGTGGGGCCGCCTCGCCGCTTTTTATCGGGCCCGCTCCTCCCCGCGCCCCTCCTCGCAGCCGCGGCCCTGCCCCCTGCGTTCCCCCGCCCGGGCCACCTCGCCCGCGCCCCGGACGGAGGCGGAGCAGAGGCGGGCGCGCCGAGGACGGGAGGGCAGTGCGCGCGCTCCGCTCCGGCCCGCGCGGCTCCCGCGCCCCGCGCGCTGCGCTCAGCCTTGCCAGCTGCGGGGCGCTTCTCATTCTGCGAGGGGGCGGGCGAGGCGCCGCCTCGGGCCGCGGCGCTAACTGGCTGCGGATCGTAGTCCTGGCGCCACGGGCGCCGCTCCGGACGCTGATTGGTGGAGGCCGGGGAGGGGGCGTGCACGGCGCACGCAGCTAGGAGGAGAGGAGAGAGTACGGGAGAGGGGCCGGGGTCGGGAGCAGGGCGGCGGCTGGGATCCGCCTTCGCTGGAGCGCGGGGCCTGGGGTTTGCACAGGTGACCAGGTCTGCCTGCGGGTGAAGCTTGCCGAGAACGGGGTCGGAATGGCCACCGGGGGATGCACGCACCCACCTCCCAGCCTTGGATGGCCCCAGACTTACGATCTGAGAAGCCCCTTTCCCCTCCTCGTTTCTCACCACCACCAGCAAGAATGGCTGTGGGAGGCAGGACTGGGCGCGATCTCTGGATGCAGCTCTCACATCAGAGCCACCCAGCGACCCTGTGATTTCCGTTGGCACGGCGCTCTGGCACGCTTTCCGCTGGATGAAATCCTCACAAACATCTAAAGCTCAGGGAGTTATAGGTTTGCCGTGCAACCAGCGGAGGGATGCAGGACTTTCCCACTGGCAGCATCCTCCAACAGGTGTTCAGAGACCGGGTGGGGGGTGACATTTGCTGGTGACTTAGGTAGGGGTGGGGGCTGGGCCAGAAACTCTTCCTACGATCTGCAGAGCCTAGGATAGTGGTGGGGGTGTGAAACCCTCACTCCCTCGCGGGAGGCAGCTGGATTGAAATCAGTGGTGCATGTGCAATTTGAAAAACAAAGTATGCTCAACATATTTTTTTTTCTTTTCTTTTGAGAAAAGGTCTAGCTATGCAACCTAGGCTGGCTTCAAACTGGCAGTTCTCCTGCCTCAGCCTCTGGAATGCTGTGCCACCGCGATGGGCATCATTAATTTAATAATTTAATTCTTTGAAATGAGTAAGATTTTTTTTTTTGTAAAAACTATGGAGAACAAAAGTCAGATGATTTTTGATTAGGAGGATGAGAAGTGATCTTGGCTTTCCTAGGAAAAGAGACCTTTTTTTTTTTTTCTTTTTTAAATCAAAGTAGGAAAACTTAGTCCCACCAAAAATAGCTTTTACCTGGGAGGCTGAGATCAGGAGGACATCGGTTAGAAGCCAGCCGGAGCAAATAGTTGGGGAGACCCAATCTGAAAAATAACCAGAACAAAATTGGACTGGAGATGTGGCTCAAGTGGTAGAGCACCTGCTTTGCAAGTGCAAAACCCCAAATTCAAACCCCAGTCCCACCAAAAAGCAAAGAAAAAAAACATAGAAGAGGTTTTAGGTACTGAGGACTTTCTAAGGACTAAGAATGCCTGCTCTGGTGGCTGGGCAGGTGACAGGGCTGGGCTTTCCTTCTCTATTCTGGACCATTCAGTGGCTATTGAAACAAAGAGGTGGGGTGCCTGGTGCTGGTAGGCATCATTAGGACACATTTAAGGGTCTGGCTGTGCCTAGCAGGTTTAGGATGGCCCAACAGGGAAGCACCAGATCCTGGTGCTGGCATGGATTAATGTTAGAATGAATGAATGGGCGGACTGGGTTCATGGTGGAAGGGGCCTTGGGCTCATTCAATCTGGTCTTTCAGACAAGAAAAAAGACTCAAAGATGAGAAGGACTTCTGTAAGGTCACACAGTGACTATGTGACAGCTACAACTAGGACTTGGGTCTCCTCACTCCTGGCTAGGTGGCTTTCCCATGGCCCAGAAGGTACTTCTGTCTCAGTTGGTGCATGCATCATTAGGTCTCAAATACGAGCTCAGAAAGCTGGAAAGAGGAAAAGCAAGATGGGACAGTGTGCCTTTGGCATGGGCCCCTGCAAACTAGAGCCTGCTGGCAGGCACAGGGAAGGACTGGAGACAGTAAAGTGATGCCTGTTATGTTATGACCACCTGTCCTGTGAGGGCTTGAAGATAGGCATCTCAGGCTCTTCTTACCTCCTGCCCCCAAAGGTTGATAGAAAACCTGAAACCAGGCAGTCATATTCTGCACTTGCCAACGCAGTTCCTTTTTCAAGTTTGTGTTGGCACTTGAGTTAAAAAAAGTCCTCCTTTATTTCCTCCTCCTCTCCCACCAAAAATAAATAAAAGAACCTGAGAGCCTTGGGGTTCCCGCAGAAGCCTGGCAGGTTTGCTGACACTGAACTTGAGCTCTTAGCACGAGAACACCAGCCCCCAGAGTGGTATGAAGATTATTATTCTATAAATGGAAAATTCCAGCTCTGTACACACAGCCCTGCTGCCTGCAGACTTTTCAAGCTCTGAAAAGTGGGAACCACCATTCTGAGAAAATCTTCAGCAAGGAAAGTTAAAAACTGCCAGCTGCTGTGTCTGCTCCCTCTGGATCAGGCCAGAGTGGGGAAAGCAAAAACCAAGGCCTTCTTCCCTCCGGCGCATGGTTTGAGCTCTTGTGGTTGAAAGAGAATGAAAATTTTTACATGCACTGGAATAAGAACAAATGCCTTGCCTGGGACCTGCAGCCTGGGTGAGTGGGTAGTGGAGAGGGGATTGTATAGAGACGCCCCTGAATGGAATTGGAAGGCACAGTTGTATCCCGGGGTCTGGTGTCTGGCCACATGTGCTGTTTCTGCAGCAGGTTGCCTCATCTGCTATCAGGTGTTAAGTAGGTGTTTGGAGAGCATCTGGAAGCAGAGCAAAACGGCATGTCTCCCAGACATGCTGGGCCTCAGTACATTGGGAATTTTTGCTCTTCGTGACCATGGAAAGGCCAGAGGAGGCGGCTGTGCCAGCTCTGGGTTAAATAAAGTTACTTTTGTCACCAAGCACAGACCAGAGCCTGGCCGTGAGCTCTCCAGCTCTCTTTGAGGCGGTGGAGTTGCCTTCAGAGATGTTCTTAGCGCCTCCCATGAAGTCTGCCTTCTGTTCATTTTCCAGGACTCTGGAATGGAGCTGGGTGTGAAAGTTTCTGCACAGGACACCTCGGACTGGGGGAGGCAGGAAGATAGGTGGCATGGGCCTCCTTTCGACTTTCTTCTGGAGAGGGCCTGCCTGGCTGCACAGAAGACTCTTGGTAGGCAGGGTAGCTGGGTGGACGGCTGTCTGGGCTCTGTGTTCCCACCTCTCCACACGCCCCCACCCTGGCCATTTTCTTTGCTGGCAGAACAGAACTGTGAAAGGCTGTGCACAGACTGCGGACAGCTTGTGCTCTTCAGAAGCATGAGGTCAGCTCTGGGGAATGAGGCAGCCTGGCCAGGGGCCAGGCAGCTACAGACGTGCTCTTGTCAGGCACTGGGTTCCTGCTGGCCTGCCTGCCAAGCTTTTGCTAGGGGGCCGGAAGTGTTTTGCCCCCTACCTCCTCCCCTACCTTTGCAGGCAGGTAAGGCCCAATTGGGCATAGGCCTGATCTATCTGCAAGGTGTTGCTTTTTGTCCCTGTCATACCTCTGCCCAAACTCGGAGGCCTGGGGATAAGGCTCCTGCCCAGTGGGGGTTTAGAATCAGCCCTAGTAGAGACACCCTGGGGTGAAATGAGGGACTTGCTGGGTCCTGGTCTGGATTTTGTTTTGTTTTTGGCAGGATTGGGGTTTGAACTCAGGGCTTTGCACTTAAAAATCAGGTGCTTTACTGCTTGAGCCATACCTCCAGTCCATTTTGCTCTGGTTATTTTGGAGATGGGGGGGTCTCATGAACCATTTAGCTGGGGGGCTTTCCTTGAATCTTGATCCTCTGATCTCAGTTTCCAAAGTAGCTAGGATTACAGGCATGAGCGACCCATGCCCAGCCCTGGGCTGGGTTTGAAAAGACACGGTAGTCTTAGATGAGGATTTTTACCTCTCTGGACCCAGCTCCTTCCTCTGATCTGCAAGGGGCTCCTCAGGTAAAGTGGTGGACACTCCCCCCCTTGCTTACCTAATTCTGAGTCTCTCCTTCAGCCTTGGGATGAGTGGTGACAAGGCAAGGGCAAACATCCTGTTTCCCTGGTCCCCAGTGGGTAAGGAGAGGGCTAGTGACCCAGTCCTGGCTCTTGAGATGTAAGTGATGTCTGTGGGTTAGGGCAATTCTGGGAAAGCTTGTTCCCCTTTTTTTTGTTGTTGTTGTACTGGGGTTTGATCTCAGGGCCTCCACTTTGAGCCACTCCACCAGTCCTATTTTTGTGCTGGGTTTTTTTTTTCCAGATAGGGTCTCATGAACTATTTACCCAGGCTGATTTTGAACCATGACTCTCCTAATCTCTGCCTCCTGAGTAGGATTACAGGCTCCTGGCTTTGTTCCCTTATTTAAAAAAGGAAAATAACAACCCAAAAGTGGACCATGAGATCTCTTCCCCAGCTCAGGTGAGCTGGGGCAGCCCTGAGTTGACACGGCTTCAGGACGAAAAGTTGGCATACTGGTGGTGGTGGCTTACTGGAAAACCTAAAAAAGAAAAAAATAGTCTTGGTGACATTTTTTGTTGGTAACTGGGTGACTTGTTTCTTACGATACTTAAATACCTTTATTGTTTTACTACTTCGAGTTGGGTCTTCTTTGACTTACATCTGGCTTTGTTCTAACGAAAACATATAGTAATATGAAGACAGTGCATTTGGTAATCCATCAGAAAAGTAGGCTACATCATTCTGACCAAGTGGAGGTAACAACCATGCCAGAAGTCTGTGTGTGTGTGTGTGTGGACAAGAGCTGG